TACATTGTACTTAACACCTTTTTGAAAACGAACATATTGTCATCTATGTGCCTCCCCCCAACTAAATGTTAGTTTTATAAGCTTCATGAGGGTAGGGATATTTTGTCTGGTTTACTGACTAGACCTAAAAGATTAGAACCATGCTTAGTATATAGCAGATTATCAATAGATTTTCCTTGGATCCTTCCCTTCCCTTCCCTTGAATACTCCTTGATCTCTTTTTCTGTTATTGGTGTCAGCACCTATGAGTCAGTAGTGAAATCTTGATATCACTTTCAGCTGCTCACTTAACCTTGCTTCCCGTTCACTACATCCATCAAATGAATTCATGTAGTAAATTAACTTAATCCAGCACCTGGCACATTTAAACCCTCTACATATCATCATCACCTTTAACTAAGCTTTGTCAGTCTCTGTTTCTTCCTTTCCTCTCAGTTATCACTCCTGATACCTGAAGTATCGCAGTAGGCTTAATAGTCTCCCTATATAAATAAATAGTTTTGCCTCCGTCACCTTTTGCCTTCATTTTAGTCTTTCTCCTTTCCAATGTAACTTTTCCACAGTTTCCATAGTTTTCTAATACATAGGTGGAATTGCGTTACACCCTTCTCAAAAACTTTCCGTCTGTCTTAGTTGTCTGCTTGGGAAAATCCAAACATTCGGGTCCTCCTAGCTTACTCCTCCAGGCTCATCACTCGCTATGGTTTTCTACTGCTCACATAACTTGTTCACTTTCATATATCCAAATTTGCAGATGGTTTCTCTTTAGTCTGGACTACTTCTTCTTCAATTCTTAAATTTTTACCTTAAAAAGCTTAACTCTCAAATATCACTTTGTTTCCTAAACCTCAATTAGAAATCACCAGTTAGTAGTGCCCTTTCCTTTTCCACAATAAGTTTATTCTACAACTTGACTCTTTTCTTCAAAGCCTCTACCCTTCCCCCACATATACTGAAAAACATACAGCAGTTCCCCAGTAAGTGAAGTGAGGTGCAGGTTTGTACCTTGTGAGAAAACAGAGGATGTAGGCTGAATTTCTAACCCTGTTTTCTGTACCTCCAGACTTTCTTAAGTCTTCATGGCTTATTCTGTTTTCATCTGTTCTCTTTGGGACCTTGCATCAGTTGTTACCACCTCCCCCATACTTTTTTATCTTTAGTGTCTACTGTTTAACTCCTACCTTCTGCCTGCAACTTAAGGTAATTATTATAATGAAACTTTACCTCAAATTTAGCATTTTGTTTTCCAGATATTTTAAGAGAATGATCTATGTCTTGTTCACTCTACTTTTTAAATTTTTTTTAATAATTTTTTTAATGTTTACTTATATTTGAGAAAGAGAGAGAAAGCACAAGTTGGGGTGGGGCAGACAGAGAGGGAGACATAGAATCCGAAGCAGACTCCAGGCTCTGAGCTGTCAGCACAGAGACCGACGCAGGGCTCGAACTCACGAACCGCGAGATCATGACCTGAGCCGGGGTCGGATGCCTAACCAACTGAGCCACCTGGCACCCTCTACTTTTAAAATTTTTAATCCTCAGAACCACTTACCTACTCCCTCACTACTGCAATGAACTAACTATAGCAGGGTTACCAGTGGCATCTCAACTGCCAAATCCTATTACTTATTTTCAGTTCTTATTGATACTTGTGATACTTACCAATGTTGATTACCTTCCTTCATAAAACTCTTCTCACTGAAGCCATTTTTCTCTTGATTGTCTTCCTCTGCCTGATTATGCCTTCCTAAAGTCTCATTTGCTCTTCCTTTTAAATATTGGATATGCCATATATATATATATATATATATATATATATATATACACACACACACACACATACACACACACACGCACATACACATAAATACATATTCATATAGTTAATAACTTTTTCCCTTTGGTGATCCACTAGTTTCATATACCTCCTGCAAACTTATGATGCCTCTTAATACATATGTATCTATCTTACCTAATTCTGCTTAATTTTTTAGAGCTTCATGCCTTTATTGGTTCTTTCACAGCCATAGTCTGAGATCTGTCCTTCAGAAAGAGTTTCCCTAGGACCTCTGAATTTGTGCCCCACTTTTTAGTGAGTCGAAAGGGTTAGTAGAATCTATGAGATTATCAAAATACTAGATAATACTTAGAATTTATAAGATGTAGAAAGGAGTAAATACCTTGCCTTTAGGGCTGAACTCTACTGTGAGTCTGATAATCTAGACTTACTGTTGTCAAAGGCTAGACATACTGTTGTCAAAGGGCCAGTCTCCACTGACTGAATTCTGTAAACCCTAAGGGCACTTGCATACCCAAGACCCAGCTACACCTACAAACTAGTCTACCTCAGCCCATCACCCCTACCCACATCTAGGCCAAATAGGTTTAGATGACTGCTTTCTGATTTAAAGCTCTCTATTCTTTTTTTTTTTTTTAATTTTTTTTTTTAACGTTTTATTTATTTTTGAGACAGGGAGAGACAGAACATGAACAGGGGAGGGTCAGAGAGAGGGAGACACAGAATCTGAAACAGGCTCCAGGCTCTGAGCTGTCAGCACAGAGCCCGATGCAGGGTTCCAACTCACGGACTGCAAGATCATGACCTGAGCCGAAGTCGGCCGCTTAACCGACTGAGCCACCCAGGCGCCCCTAAAGTTTTCTATTTTTTAGATAGTTCTATCCCCCTTGTTACAAGTCACAATGATCTCCTACCACTAGACAAATAAAAAATCCAGCAAAACCAAAAATCCATCCTTGGCTTAACCAGTGGGTTTCGCTTGTCATTTTGATCGCTCATAAGCCTTTCTCAAGGCTTTTCTGTACATACAGCCATGACACAGATAAAGTATGTTTTATTATTCCTAATTCTGAATTGGAGAGTTTTAATATATTTTTTAAATTTTTTTAATGTTTATTTTTGAGAGTGAGAGAGAGCGCAGAAGAGGCTTAATACATATTTATGGAAACGGTTGCTTTGAAAAGTTTTTTTGGCACATCCTTCACCCCACTTTCTACTCCTCCTTTTCCTCTTTAACTTAAGCTTATCTGACAAAGTCAGCTAGGCAGGCTAACCTCACTAGAGTTCAGCGGGGAGAATGCACGTTTTCCCAAGGGCAGGCAGCTAGCTCCATTAAAGCAAGGATTCAGTAAGCAGAGTCACACATGCTTACTTCCTTCTTTCAAACTCTCCAGTCAGATACTATTCCTCCTCCCATGTAATGATCTAAGGAATGAAGGTCAGCAATTTTTTCTTTCCAGTCCTTCTGCAAGGTCAAAAGCTCCTCTTTCACTTGTCTTCAGACTGAAGTTTGTGTGCTTCTGGAGGCCTAGCAAAACTTTCTAGGGCTACCATGCAGACAACTTTTGTATCTTTAACTTCCATTTGTATTCTTTCCTGAAATCCCTCTACCTGAGAAAGTAGCAGTGTTCTACAGAGTCTCCTTAATTATTTCCCTTTTCAGGAGCAAAAGATTTCTCTTCACCAGAGAGAATGTAATTATGGTGCACTGCCCCAGGGTGTAAAAACTTTCAAGGTGGACAGAAACTTTCAGGTACCTAACAGACATAATTTGAAACGACAGTAAAGTCCAGCAAAAGCAAAAACCTTAAAAAATTTAACAAAAATGAAATGATTTGTCTTTTGGGCTTATATTTGAGCTCTGGTTTCATTAGTTAGCATATTGTGACATTTTCCATAAATTGAGTGTCATTGTTTTGACACATATATTTAAATGTACACATAATACACAAAACACTAGATTATGGGCAGGGAGTACACAGTTTGAAAACATCTTTTAGAGGACAAGGAAAGAAAACAGTTTGAAGATGATTTTCTCACTTTATGAATCAAAGAGGAAAATTTAATTGTTAATGTCACTTATTAAGAGATGTTATACTTTTATTCTTACTCATTGTTTTGACTATGAAAGTAACACCATTAAGTGCCCACTTTCACAAATAGAAACAGGGTACAGTTATATAAAATTGAAAGCCACCATCTTTCTGCCACCCCTCCTCCAGGCTCACTTTAGAATAGTCATTAGCTTTCATTTGTATCCTCTTTGCCTTTTTCTCTATTTCTACAAACAGAGCCACATAACAGGTTCCCTTCCCAGTAAGTGAGATCATTGGACTGCCATGTGCATTCTTTTCTTCTAACCAGTGTAATTTGGGAGCATATTACCAAGTATAGGACACTTAAAAAAATTGTTTTCACTTTTTTTTATTTTGAGAAAATGTGCAAGCAGGGGAGGGGCCAAGAGAGGGGGAGAGAGATTCCCAAGCAGGCTCGGTGCTGATATAGCATAGAGCCCAATGCGGGGCTTAAACCCATGAACCATGAGATCATGACGTGAGGCACAATCAAGAGTCAAACACTTAACTGACTGAGACACCCAGCTGCTCCATTAATGGCTGCCTAGTATTTTGTGAATGTGTACTGTTGTTAATTTATTCCCCCCATTCTTGGCATTGATGGATTTACCTTGTTTCCATTTATTGCCACTATAATCAGCTCTGCAATAGAAATTATTTTTTCACTATGGTTATTTTATAGAATAAATTCTTTGGATAAGCAGTTTGTAATTTTAACAGGAGGCTTTTGAATTACCTTTCCTAAAATACAACTATTTATACCCACAGCAGTATAGGAAGGAACTCATTTTCCCAAACTTGTGTTGATCCATGATACCTTTTTTAATTTTGCAAAATTAGTGAATAAAACATGGTAACTTATTATTTTAATTTACATTTTTTAGTGATTGTGAAAGCTATGTATCTGTCATTTATCCATTTTAAAATTAGATTATCTTATATCATTAATTTGATCTTGACATTTAAAAATATTTTCTCTTTACAGCAATTCGACTATAATCTTGATTAAACAGTAAATTGAATTAGATGACTTTGAATTTTATGGTATTCTAGTTCTCTTATGATAAAATGACATTGTGTGACAACTTTTTTTACAAAGTAAATCTGTTTTATTTATCCTTTAATAGTTAAGAGAAGAAAGCCGGAGGCTGGCCTTGGCTGCCAAAAGAGAAAAGAGAAAGGAGAAGAGACGAAAGAAAAAGGAAGAGCAAAGAAGAAAACTAGAAGAAATCGAAGCCAAAAATAAAGAGAACTTTGAACTCCAAGCTGCTCAAGAAAAAGAAAAGCATAAAGTTGAAGGTATTTTCTCTAACTTACCATCTAATTTGATTTATGTAATACATTGTATTCAAAATGATATTTCCTTAAATATCAATAACTTAAGGTAAAAGTAGATTTCTGTCATTAGCCCTTAAGTATTGTGTGCTGTTTTCATTTATTGACTTCTCCCTAGCTTTTTATTGTGAAGAATTTCAGAGCTACAAATTGAAAGAATGATTAAATGAACACCTGAGTACCTTCTACCTAGATATTAAAAATAAAAATTTTACCATATTTGCTTTATTTTTTTTCTTTCTAAACATATGTGTATATTTTTTCTATGCTATCTGAATGTAAGTTGCAAACATCTTGACATTGTACCTATAAAACTTCAACACTTATCCTAGGGATGACATTTGCTTACATAATCACAATACCATTTATTATACCTACAAAATTAAGTGTAATTCCATAATATTGATAATCCTAAACATATTTAGAATTTTCTCAAACTGAGGGAGTTATTTTAACTGGATTCTAACGAAAAGATTATTTGATATTGAAAATATTGTGAGGAGAAACCACTGCCAGTAAGCCACCAAATATATACGTAGTGTGTGTGTGTTGTGTGTGTGTGTGTGTGTGTGTGTGTGTGTGTGTGTGTGTGTGTGTGATTTCTCTCTCCTCCAGCCTTTTATTTTGAAAAATTTCAAACTACAGAAAAGTTTATGGATTAGTATGATGAACACCTGTATGTCACCTGGATTCTTATAATATTTTTGGCACATTAGTTCAATTTGTTTTTTTTCCTTTCTTTTTGAATAGATTACATGTAAACTGGGCACCCCATGCAGAATCATCACTAAATACTTGAATATGTATTTCCCAGAAAAAGAACATTATTTTATATAACCACAATAACATTATTATACCTGAGAAATTTAATAATTATATAATATGTGATATACAGTAATTATTCACATTTCCCAAATTGTCCCCTAAATATTTTTCATAACTGCCTACTATGTATTGTTTAGGACTTAGCACAGAGAGGAGATCAATCATATCTATTTCATTACTAATGAATGCTGGAATGATTGATGACTTTACATCTAATTGTCATCTAATAGTCGCAAAGTAACTCCTGATTTTATTGTTCTTCAAGTGCTTAAAGCTAAATATATTCTATGGGGCTCCTTGGTGGGTCAGTCAGTTAAGCGTCCAACTTTGGCTCAGATCATGGTCTACGGTTTGCGGGTTCAAGCCCCGTATCAGTCTCTGTGTTGACAGCTCAGAGCCTGGATCCTGCTTTGGATTCTGTGTCTCCCTCTCTGCCCTTCCCTGGCTCGTGCTGTTCTCTCTCTCAAAAGTAAATAAACATTAAAAAAAAAAAAAAAAAAGCTAAATATATTTTGAATCACTTAGAACTGTCTAACTTGGTATTACTACTTTTACAGATGAGCCTGAAGTCTTGACAGAGCCTCCAAGTGCCACAACCACTACTACCATAGGTATATCTGCAACCTGGACAACTTTGGCAGGTTCCCATGGTAAAAGAAATAATACCATAACCACAACCAGTTCAAAGAGGAAAAACAGGAAAAATAAAATTACTCCAGAAAATGTTCAGATTATATTTGATGATCCACTACCAATCTCATATAGTCAGCCAGAGAAGGTAAATGGAGAGTCCAAGAGCAGCAGTACCAGCGAGAGTGGGGACAGTGATAACATGAGGATTTCCAGCTGCAGTGATGAAAGTAGTAACAGCAACAGCAGCCGAAAGAGTGACAATCATTCACCTGCTGTGGTGACTACCACGATGACCAGCAAGAAGCAGCCATCAGTTCTGGTTACATTTCCCAAAGAGGAGAGAAAATCTGTTTCTGGAAAGGCTTCAATAAAGTAAGTCCCAATTTTCACTTTTATTATTTATAGTATCATCATGAAATGCTTTGTTGCTGAATTTTTTAGTAAAGCAAGCAAATTAATTGGCAAAATAAGGGTTTGTCTTTGTGCTAAAGAAGTCACAGTTTCATTTTAATTGAAGAATAAGCTATTTTTTAAGTTTTGTGTTAATGAAAGATAAAATTATTTTTACTATGTAACTTCTTTATTTTAGTTGTTAAATTTAGCCCATGAAAAGTATTGACTATGGTTTCTCAGGGGTTATTACTGTAATTCATCTCTGCTAATTTTGACCTCATGATAGTATCTTCTTAAAAATTGTCTGTTCATATCATGCTACGTATTGAAAAGTGAAAAATAAGTTCTTCATTTGTTTACCGTACTTATTCCAAAATAAAAGAATAAAATTATGTAATAGATTGCCTCTATTATTTAAAACTCTATATTCTGTATTTAATGTATTTTTCCCCTCTGTTAAAGATTGTCAGAGACTATCAATGAAGTGACCAGTAATTCTCTGTCTACTTGCACAAAATCTGGTCCGTCTCCCCTTTCCTCTCCAAATGGGAAGTTAACAGTAGCAAGTCCTAAGCGTGGACAAAAGAGGGAAGAAGGATGGAAGGAAGTTGTAAGAAGGTGAGTGACTGTTCCTTGTTTTTCTCATTCTTTATATGTGAGATGTTGTTTACCTTACAGTTAGATTCCTCCAACTATTCCAAAGGTTGCAAAGAAACTGGTGGCCCTAGGCTGAATCTGAATCTAGCCAACAGAGATAGCCTATACCGTACTGTAGATGAGAAAAACAATTGGATATAAATGCTTTTAAAATTAGGAGATTTTACTTTAAAAAGTTACATAATTGCAGTATCTGCTTGACCCTAGGCATTTGCTGTCTGGTAGAAAACTAATGTAAATACTTTAAGGTGATAAATTGTGTTTCGAGTACTCAACTTGGTAATCTCAGAGCCCAGTATGTGGTATCTTTTACATACTTGTAAGTATTTGAAGAATGAATAAGTATTGGTTTTAAACTATTGTTGTTTGTAAACCACAGGATATCTTTATTTTAAGAATTTTAGGACTAAAATATTTGTTTATAGTTTGCTTGAAATTTTTAATGTTATGTATATTAAACAAGTAAAACAGTATCCCAGAAACTAAAAGGTCATAAGATCCCACAGAGGATGTATTGTAAATCTTTGATAACCTATTTTAAAGAACTTCCCACAAATTCCAACAAAAAATTACAGTTTTGAGTATTTGAATTATTTATTTATTTATTTATTTATTTATTTATTTATTTATTTCAACGTTTATTTATTTTTGGGACAGAGAGAGACAGAGCATGAACGGGGGAGGGGCAGAGAGAGAGGGAGACACAGAATCGGAAACAGGCTCCAGGCTCCGAGCCATCAGCCCAGAGCCTGACGCGGGGCTCGAACTCACGGACCGCAAGATCGTGACCTGGCTGAAGTCGGACGCTTAACCGACTGCGCCACCCAGGCGCCCCCAGTTTTGAGTATTTGAACTAAGAGCTGTGATGAACCAAACTTATTCCTATTAATCCCACAATGCACTGTATAGTTTTTTTTTCATATTTTTGACCAAACTCCCCACACCACCATCTCTATCTTCATCTCTGTCTCTCTCACATTCGTGCACATCGCACACGCACTCATTCACATACACACACTTCTTTTGTACTAACCAAAATCACAACATTAGAGTACTGTCTATACAAAAGTATGGTAACTCAGTTTTTCTCCATGTATTTTATATTGTGGTATACTAAGAAATTCTTAACTGGGGCGCCTGGGTGGCGCAGTCGGTTAAGCGTCCGACTTCAGCCAGGTCACGATCTCGCGGTCCATGAGTTCGAGCCCCGCGTCGGGCTCTGGGCTGATGGCTCAGAGCCTGGAGCCTGTTTCCAATTCTGTGTCTCCCTCTCTCTCTGCCCCTCCCCCGTTCATGCTCTGTCTCTCTCTGTCCCAAAAATAAATAAAATGTTGAAAAAAAAAAATTAAAAAAAAAAAAGAAATTCTTAACTAATTTGAAAGTAATGATCACTGACTTATTATTATTCCCTTCAAAGGAATTATTAAGTAACTTAGTTATGTATATAAAAGTACAGGGGTCATACCTTACCTTTTAAAAAATACAACATTTTAATTTAATATCTAATCTACCATTCTAAATAAATAATTTGCTTCTTCAATAAAGCATGGTTGGCTCATCTTCTGATGCCTCTAAAATAATACAAGGTAACAATGCATTTTTAATATCATCCTTTCAGTTATATACTAGAGAATAAAAAGAATGTGAGTCAAACACCCAGAAGTGCCCACAAGAAGTGTTACCTGTTTATTCAGGCTGGATTAGGTGCCCCAACCAGTGTATCTTCATGATACCTTATTGGAGCACTCATGGCATGATGTTCTTTTCCTACTTGGTATCTACATAGTCAGTCTATGTGGGCAGGAACCTATGTCTGTCTTATTTGCCATTAGTATTTGCACTAACACAGTGCATGTCTACATAGTATGTACTTTATAGATATTAACAAATGATGAAAGTCAAAAAACCAAACCATCTTTGGTAATGAGATGAGAAGCTATGATAAAAGCGCTTGCTTACGTGACCTCTCATTTTTTCTCTCTCCTGTCACTTAGTTGTCTTTTATCACCTAGAGTAAGAATAGATAGAAGAGGCTAACTCAACAATAATCTATTCTGTGTTTACAGAAATGTATTTTAGTAATCCTCTCTCCTCAATATTTTAATCATAACCACTGATATTAGTGATATATCTTAATTTACCTTTGCAACTTTTAAACAGGTCAAAGAAAGTATCTGTTCCATCAACTGTGATATCCAGAGTGATTGGAAGAGGAGGCTGTAATATTAATGCCATTCGGGAGTTCACTGGTGCACACATAGATATTGATAAGCAGAAAGACAAGACAGGAGACCGGATAATAACCATAAGGCAAAACTTTGTCTCTTTTGTTTTCTCCCTTTGTGTTTTACTGCATTATACTTTAATGACATACAAGCATTTGAGTTTTCACTGGAACTTTGTGTTTAATAGCATACTTTTTTTAAATGGGAATTTGATTAGTGTTTGAGAAGAAAACCTTTACAGTTTTTTTCTCTAATTCATATGCTCATGAAATATTTCAAAGGGCTCTAAAGAATTTTTCTTTTGTGAGTGTGTGACAGAGGCTTAGATAATCTTTTCCTTACATAAACTGTTCTTACAACATTCTTAAAATTTTATTCTGAGACTTTTTAAGAAGGAATAGGTTTCTTACCCATTTTAAGCAGTAGGTTTCCCTTTTGCCCTTAAATTAACTTTTGAGATTTACTATTCTGAGGTTGTATCCTTAGACTATGAGGTCAGTAATAGATTTAACTCTGAAATGGGTATTTGTCTTACATTGAAGATGTCTATACCTTAATCCCCTTTAAATAAAGATAGGATATTCTAAGAAATGATAAGTTTGGTTATGAAAGGCAGGTGCCCCTTAGGAGCTGATAGTTATATAGTCTACCTTTAAGGGAGGCAATTAGCCATCTCTATTTTGTATTTATTCTCCTATCTTGTTTTTCCCTTTCCTGGGATAGGTGGGTAGTCCCAACCTGCTTTATCTAGACAAGAGGGAAGCAGATACCTTCTATGAGTAATTTCCCCCTTAAGGTTTCCATAAGGCTTTCCTTGCAATCAAATGTTTTCCTGAAGATTTAACACTAGGGTTTGACCTGATGCCCATTGTTGGCCCTGTCAGGATTCCTCTCTCCTTCTGAGACATCTTTTCAGAGGAAGTATGAGAATCATTCTAATAGAGTTTAGTCAGAGGTGGGGGTCATAGATGGGGTCATCTTAGGTACCGGGACTTAAAATAAAACACTATTTTTTTACTCAGTTTTTTTTGTTGTTGTTCTTTGTTTACTTATATTGCTTTTAACATTGGCCAACTGTTTAATTATAGTGTTATGGATTACATAGGCTTTTAAGTGCAGTGGTTTTTCTAACTGTAATGCATTTTACGATGGGAAAATGACTTCTTAGTCTAAGGAAACAATAGCAAAATGCATTTTTGAAAAGTCGTTTACTATTCCTTTGAAAACTATAATGGCATACCAGGCCAGTTTATTGCTCTGTTTGCAGAATACCTCAAGAATAGTCAGAAAATTGCTGCCTAACCTTTGTTATTTGTTCTCTGTATGTATGTGTACACTCACACAAATGAATTTAGGCTATACCTATTAAAAAGGAGGGGAAATTGGACCTAACTTTTTCTTCTTGGTCAATTTACAGGGGTGGCACTGAATCAACAAGACAGGCAACTCAGTTGATCAATGCTCTGATCAAGGATCCAGACAAAGAAATTGATGAACTTATTCCAAAGAATCGTTTGAAAAGCTCCTCAGCAAATTCCAAAATAGGGTCATCAGCACCTACCACCACTGCTGCTAACAGTTCCTTAATGGGAATTAAAATGACGACTGTAGCTCTGTCATCAACATCTCAAACTGCCACAGCACTCACGGTGCCTGCAATTTCTTCTGCATCTACTCATAAAACCATTAAGAACCCAGTGAATAATGTGAGGCCTGGTTTTCCAGTTTCTCTTCCATTAGCATATCCTCCTCCACAGTTTGCACATGCTTTGCTTGCTGCTCAGACTTTCCAGCAGATCCGTCCACCAAGGTTGCCCATGACCCACTTTGGAGGTACTTTTCCACCAGCTCAATCCACTTGGGGTCCTTTTCCTGTCAGGCCTTTGAGCCCTGCCAGAGCTACTAACTCGCCTAAGCCTCACATGGTGCCTCGCCATAGCAATCAGAATAGCAGTGGTTCTCAGGTGAATTCAGCAGGTTCTTTAACTTCAAGTCCAACAACTACAACCAGTTCATCAGCTTCAACGGTGCCTGGTACATCTACAAATGGCAGTCCAAGTTCACCTTCTGTCAGAAGGCAGCTTTTTGTCACAGTTGTGAAGACATCCAATGCCACCACCACAACAGTCACAACCACAGCAAGCAACAACAGCACTGCACCCACAAATGCCACATATCCTATGCCTACTGCCAAAGAACACTACCCAGTATCATCCCCATCTTCCCCATCACCACCAGCCCAGTCAGGAGGGGTTTCTAGAAACAGCCCTTTGGATTGTGGAACAGCATCTCCAAATAAAGGGGCATCTTCCTCTGAACAGGAAGCAGGTAGTCCACCAGTAGTAGAAACAGCAAACAGTAGACTTTCAAACAGCAGCAGTTCTTCTGGGAGTTCATCAGTTCATTCTACTCAGCAACAACCTCCGGGATCTGTTTCTCAGGAGCCAAGACCACCTCTTCAGCAGTCTCAGGTTCCTCCCCCGGAAGTTAGAATGACTGTTCCTCCTTTAGCAACAACAAGTTCTGCTCCAGTGGCGGTGCCTTCTACTGCCCCAGTGACTTACCCTATGCCTCAGACACAAATGGGATGCTCCCAGCCTGCTCCTAAAATGGAAACCCCTGCTATTAGACCACCCTCTCATGGCACAACGGCCCCTCACAAGAATCCAGCTCCAGTGCAGAGTTCATCTGTTGCAGTCCTAAGTGTCAATCACATTAAAAGACCTCACAGTGTTCCCTCTTCTGTCCAGCTACCTTCAACCTTAAGTACACAAAGTGCTTGTCAAAATTCAGTACATCCAGCAAATAAGCCTATTGCTCCCAATTTCAGTGCCCCCTTACCATTTGGGCCCTTTAGCACATTGTTCGAAAACAGCCCTACTTCTGCTCATGCCTTCTGGGGAGGATCTGTTGTTTCATCTCAGTCAACGCCAGAATCTATGCTATCAGGAAAATCCTCATATTTGCCAAATTCAGATCCTTTACATCAGTCTGATACTTCCAAAGCTCCAGGTTTTAGACCACCATTACAGAGACCCGCTCCAAGTCCCTCAGGTGAGTTTGTATTTTCTAACATTCTGCAGCTGTTCCTTTATACAAGTGATAGGAAAACTCTTGGTCATTTTCTAATATTTTTATTCCATGAATGGGCCAGATAGAGATTGTTGTATTTAGTTCACTCAAATGCTGTTTTGAGTATTAGATGTATTCAGTATGGGTTTTTATATTTTAATTATTATTTTTTTTAAGTTTTTTATTTATTTTGAGAGAGACAGAAACAGCGCAAGTGGGGAAGGGGCAGAGAGAGCGAGAAAGAGAGAGAATGAATCCCAGGCAGGCTCTGTGCTGGCAGCACGGGGCTCGAACCCACAAAACCTTGAGATTATGACCTGAGCTGAAACCAAGAGTAAGACGCTCAACCGACTGAGCCACACAGGTGCTCCAAGTATGACGTTTTTTAAAAAAGTCTTTTTAGAAGCCACAGTGGACTTTATCTTGAATTTCCCACAGATAATTTTCTTCGTCAGATATATTTTTCTCTCTCAAAATAAAGCAGTCTTTTTTGATTTAATAAGTTAAAATTAAAAAAGGTTTATTTCAAAAAGTAATAAAGCTTTCTAAAATTTGATTTCATTTCTGTCTTTTTTGTTTTTAAAATAATGAGAAAAACAGGGGCATCTGGGTGGCTCAGTCAGTTGAGCGTCTCACTTTGGCTCAGGTCATGATCTCACCATCCATGCGTCTGGCTCTGTGCTGACAGCTCGGAGCCTGGAGCCTGTTTCAGATTCTGTGTCTCCCTCTCTCTCTGTCCCTCCCCCACTCATGCTCTGTCTCTTTCTCAAAAATAAATAAATATAAAAAAAAGAAAATAAAAAAATGAGAAAAACACAGAGCCACATAGTTTTAATAAGGTAGCCCCTAATCGTATGTGCTCTTCAAATTAAAATTGAATAAAATTAGAAATTCCTCTTGGTCAAACTAGCCGTTTATTGAAAACTGTATAAAACTGGCATACATCACTGTGTAGGTTTAAGGTGTACAGCATAATGATTTGACTTATATTGTGAAACGATTACTGTAATAAGTTTAATTAGCACCCATCATCATATAGATACAATAAAAAAGAGGGAAAAAATTATTTTTCCTTGTGATTTTTTTTTTTCCTCTTAGGATTTTACTCTCTTAACAACTTTCATATATATCCTGCGGCAGTGTTAACTATAGTCATCATGTTGTACATTACATCCTTATGGTACTCATTTATCCTATAAATACCTTTTCATCACCTTCTTCCAGTTCCCCTTTCTCCCACCTCTGGTAACCACAAATCTGATCTTTTTCTATGCATTTGTTTGTTTTTAGATTCCACATATTGAGATCATACAGTATTTGCCTTTCTCTGTCTGACTTACTTCAATTACCGTAATTCCCTCCAGGTCCATCCATGTTGTTGCAAATGGCAGGATTTCCTTCCTTTTTATGGCTGAATAATATTCCTGTGTGTGTGTGTGTGTGTGTGTGTGTGTGTGTGTGTGTGCGCGCGCGCGCGCACGCGTGCGCATGCACGCGCACATATGTATGCATGTGCACCCACGACATCTTTATCCATTCATCTGTTGATGGACACCTTGGTTGTTTCCATGTCTTGGCTATTGTAATAATGCTGCTGTGAACATGGGAATGCAGATATTTTTGAGTTAATGATTTTGTTTCCTTTGCTATATTTCCAGAAGTGGAATTGCTGGTTTATATATAGCAGTTCTATTTTTAATTTTTTGTGCAGTCTCCATACTATTTTTCATTGTGACTCTAAGCTGGCCTTATTTCATTTAATAAGCACATATGGCTAGTGGCTACCATAATAGAAAGTACAATATCAAATATATCTGTGTTCTTGGAAAGCTCTATTATCATTTAATATGATGCTGATATTTGTAGAGAACTTAAAGAAAGATCTCTTAGTTGTAAGTGATTGCTTTTTTTATTAACTTTTTACTTTGAAATGTTTTAAATTTATAGAAGAATTCTTCTGTAATTACCCCATCTTCCCCTAGTATAAATATTTAATATAATCCTTTATTTTTTAAAACTAAGAAGTTAATATTGGTACAGTACAATTGACTACAGACTTTATTCAGATTTCACCGGTGTTTCCAATAATGTTCTTTTTCTGTTGCATTGTCCAATCTGGGATACCAAGTTGCCTCTAGAGCTATGTATTTTAATGTGAACATCTCAAGTAATTAAAGATAAGCCATACCAGAGATAGACAAACTATTGTCCATGGGCCAAAAATGGCCTGCTGCCTATTTTTACATTTGTTACGTTTTAAAATTGAGATTTAATAATAATGTAAGATTTTTTTAATGATTAAAAATATTTTTTAAATAATACTGTGTGACACAAAAAAATAGGAATTTGAATTTCAGTGTTCATAAGTAAAGTTTTATTGGAACACAGCCATGCCCATTCATTTACATATTGTGTTATAGCTACTTTCATGCTTTAATGATAGCCTGAAAATATTTACTATTCAGCCTTTTGCAGAAATGCTGCTAACCTGATCTGTGTTATTGAAGTGATGACATTCTGGGACTAAAAATTTCTAAATTTAATGGGAACTGGATGTAATTTTTACCTATTCCTGTGACATGTGAATACAATGTAATGAACATGGTCAGTAAATGTTTCTTTGCTGGGGACTGATGGAAGTATTTATGTGTACTTACAAAATAATACAATTTCTCTTGAGTACTGAAATGTTAGAATTAAGAGATCATCATATGCCAATGCATTGGAAATGTTTTTATATTTCATATTTATGATAGTTGGAATTTATTGAAAATACTTCACTTTTCAAAACAAGGTGAATTCTAGGTAGTGTGTTGAGAAAGACTAAAATTAAGATTTAGAGAAAAAGGAAACAAATTCTTATTTTGTGGAAGGGTAGGGAAAAAAGGCCAGCTCTATAAAGGAACTGAGGTTTTTGGGGGTGTATAGTTGATTAGAGCCAAAGTTAGCATGAAGTTTAATTTGAGAGTCTGTTGGGAATACTACTCAATTCAGGTCAGCAAAACAGGCATGTTTGCCTTCACAGTTCTACCACTATTACCACACTCAAGAGAATTAACATTAATTAGACAATACCAACCAATATGCAGTACCATCCTCCCATATATAACCATTGTGCCTGTGTCTGTCTGTCTTTCTTTCTTTCTTTCTTTCTTTCTTTCTTTCTTTCTTTCTTTCTTTTTTTTCTTTTCATCCAAGATTCAATCAAGGTTCACACATTGCTTTTGGCTGCCATGTTTCTGTGGTCTCCCCCAGTCTAAAATCTCACTACCTTCCTTTGTTTTTCTTGACATGAATTCTTTGAAGAGTCCAGTTGTTCTGAAGAATGTCCCACATTTTAGATTAGATTCATCTGTTTCCTTAGTCCATGATTACATTCAAGTCAAACATTTTTGGCAGGAACTTCAAACGGGTGATGTTTTGAACCTCACACTGCATTACATCAGGAGGCATTCACTGAAGATTGTTTCACTATTAGCTATAGAAAGGATGGCCACTTAGTTAAGATGCTGATCATCAGATCTGTCCATTGTAGAAGTATAGCTATGTTTTTCTCCCCCTATAGTTTTTTTAGACTTTTTTTTTTTTTTGCATATACATGATTGAGTTTATTATAAAAAAGGTAAGAAAAAATGGGGTTTGAGATAGGAAGGATACAGGTGGATAGGCCTCAACAGCACTGCCACTGATCTACCTGTTCTTTCACATCAAGAAGTTGATCTTGCGAGTCATTTCCATGTTGTAGATCCACTGGCAGGTTTCATAGCTTCCCCTCTGTCATCGGCGACAAGGCTTTTCATAGTACCGCCGCCATCGCTTAATGTCCTCAATGAGCCCATCCATGGTGAGGATTCTGTTTAAGGTCCTGTGGGTACCTTCCACATTTCTTTCCTGTACCATCACAGTCCTGGCAATGAACTTCAGATGTTTTGCCATGACCTTGGGATTTAAATCTTTACTCTGCAGGACCCCATGCTCTCCAGAGCCAGCTGCTGGGAACCTTAGTTCCTAGACTTTATTTTTTAAATAGCACTTTTAGGTTCACAGAAAAGCATAGAGAAAATTGAGAGGAAAGTACAGAATTTCCCACATATCTCCTGCCCCCAGCAGGCAGAGCCTCTTCCATTATCAGTATCCCTGACCAGGGTTGTGCATTTGTTAGAATTGATGAACCTCTATCAACACATCCTTATCAAAGTCTGGTTTTCATTACGGTTCACTTTTGGTGTTCTACATTCTGTGGGTTTGAACAAATGTTTAATGACATGTATCCATCAGTATAGTATCATACACAATATTTTCAGTGTCATAGAAATAGTCTCTGCTTTGCCTAGTCATCTCTCTCTCCCTCCTGAGTTTTTTAAAGATAAGTTTTTATGTAATTCCTTGGCCATTAGGCCAGTTGAAACTCCAATGTTGATATTAAATCTACATGTATTCTATAATTAAAGTATCATATATTAAAATTAAATATAAAAATAATTTTCCTTGATAATTGTTCCTTTTTTTATAGTCCTCTTTATAGAAGGGAAAATGAGTCAATGGACTGGAAGAAATAGCAAGGAGAAATCTAAAATATTTGGGGGTATTTTAGAGGTCTCTTAATTTTAATTTAGTTTTTTTTTTTTAATTTTTTTCTCCTACAGGTAACTATTATAAATTATCTTCTGTCTTTCAGGTATTGTCAACATGGACTCGCCATATGGTTCTGTAACACCTTCTTCTACACATTTGGGAAACTTTGCCTCAAACCTTTCAGGAGGTCAAATGTATGGACCTGGGGCACCCCTTGGAGGAGCACCCGCAGCTGCTAACTTTAACAGACAACATTTTTCCCCACTTAGTTTGTTGACTCCATGTTCATCAGCATCGAATGGTGAGTATTATACATTATAATTCCATAATAAGAGTTTGTATATGTTTCCTTAAGAGCAAGAGGTTTTAAGTGGGCAAAGACAAAAGATGACTTACGAGCTGTGAACAAGTCTTGAATATATCAAGACTAATGAAATGGGAACAGAGGAACAAACATTTTTATAAATAGCAAATGATTAAAAAGTCTGAAATACATTATAATTTTTGAATGATTTAACCTGCTTAGTTTTTTCTTATACTCCTCTTAACATTAATTTTTATACCTAAATATATAACAGATCTGGATCAGTGTCTTCTATGTTGAGCTGAAACTAAACCATCATAGGAATAAACATATTCCTTAAGATGTCTACATATAGGTGATTCATATTCGTGTGTGTGTGTGTGTGTGTGTGTGTGTGTGTGTGTGTGTGTGTGTATGGATAATTTTTGATTTTCATGTTCATGAAAAAATAGGAATTGGGAGAAAAGGAGTTAAAATTGCAACATGACTGCTCATTGAAAAGGGTTAACCTGAGGGGTAGGTGCCTGGGTGGGTCAATCAGTTGATTTTTGCTCAGGTCGTGATCTCACAGTTTGTGGCATCGAGCCTCACGTCGGGCTCTTTACTGTTAGCTTGGGGTGGATTTAGGATCTTCTCTCTTTCTCTCTCGCTTTCTGTCCCTTCCCTGCTCATGTGCGTAAGTATTACTCTGAAATTTTTGGTAGCTAATCTTTAGAATGGGTTCTCAGTAGCAGAGGCTGTTTTTATGCATAATAAAAACATACTTATTAATATTTATTTAGGAAATAAATTCAGGGATTTTGTGATGAAATTCAGAAAGTATGATAGGTTGTTTTGCCCTATAGTTTGTTTCACTGTGTGGGCTTTTCATTGTTTTTTTTTATTTTTTGTTTTTTGGTTTGGTTTTATGTTTATTTGATTTTTGTTTCGGTTGAGAAAACATTGTGCTTTTTGTAACAATGCAACCAATATAGGTTAAGTTTTCTAATACATTGCTGATTGATACAGAATATCACTGAAGCTATTAAAATTGTTTTCATTGATGCATTCCAACATTTTTTGAAGTTTCAAAAAGTTTCAGGGGTGCCTGAATGGCTTAGTCGGTTGGGCATCCGACATCAGCTCAGGTCATGATCTCACAGTTCACGAGTTCGAGCCCTGCATCGAGCTCTGTGCTGACAGCTCGATCCTGGATCCTGCTTCGGATTCTGTGTCTCCCTCTCTTTCTGCCCCTCCCCTGCTCATGCGCTCTCTTGCTCTCTCTCTCTCTCTCTCTCTCTCTCTCTCTCTCTCAGAAATAAACATTAAAAAAATTTTTTTTAATTTTCTAAAAGTTTCAGAAATTTTCAAACTTACAGAAAAATTGAAAGAATACTTTAAGAAGCATCCATATTCCTTTCAATTGTTAACTCCTTAAAATTACCAATTTTTTAAACATTTTGCTCCAGTTTATGTAATCTCCAGTTTTTTATTGTTGAAACATTTGAAAGTAAGGTTCAGATATGACACTTGTGACCTAAAAACTTTAGTGTCCATCTTAAAAATAAGGACATTTTCTTACACAGCCACAATACCATTATCAAATAAACGTTAATATTAGTAATGTCACGTCATACATACTTCCTATTCAGATATCCCCAATTGCCCTAAAACATTTTTTATACATTTTTTTTTCCCTTCGAACCATGAATCACTCAGGGTAAATGTATTACATTAGACTTTGTCTCTCAGGTCTATCTTAAAAAAATAATTTTAAACTTGTAAGCATAGTACAAAGAACCCTTATATATTTTTCTCAGATTCACCAGTTGTTAACATGTTGCCACATTCTTTCATTTTCTGGGTGTGTAGGTGTATAGAATTTTTTTTTCTGAACCATTTTAGAGTTAGTTGCAGGTATCAAGCTATTTTCCCCTGAATACTCTAAAGGATTATATTTCTTAAAAATAAGAAAATTCTCTGCTACAACTATGGTACAATTAGCAAATTCAGCAAATTTTATGTTGGACAGTATTAGCTAATACATAGTCCATATTTACATTTACTAGGTGTCCCAATAACACCTAGTAATTATAAATATTATAATTATAAATAATAATAATTATATAGTTTAAATTATATAGTTTAAATTTAAATAATAAATATTATTTCCTCTCATCCAAGATTCAAATCAAGATCACAGATTACATTGAATTCCATGTCTTTTTAGTGTGAAATATTCTGGAACTGTTCCCTCAGTCTTTCTTTGTCTTCCAAAGAAAGACATTTTGAAGAGTACAGGTCAGTTGATGATAAAATTCCCCTTCATTTGTTTTTCTGATATTTCTTCATGATTAAATTTAGGCTAAGTGTTTTTGACAGGAATATTAGTGTGTAGTCAATGTTGTGTCCTTATCTCAGTATATTGCATTAGAAAGTATAAAATGTTAAGTTTGTGCCATTATTGGCACTGTTAACTTTGAATCATTTTGTTAAGATCATGAATACCAGGTTTCTGTACTGTAAAATTATAATTTTTCCCTTTGTAATTAGTACGTAATCTGTGTAGGGTTTTTGTGAGACTGTGTTCTTATTCCTCATCATCCTTTCAGGCAGATTATAAGGGAATGGGGGAAGAAGTAGCACTTGTCTGAGTAATATATAAATTTTACTTTTGAAATGATGTTAATGTTTATAAATTCCAAAAACACCACACCCAACTTTGTTGAAGGAAAAATGCTAAAATTGAACATAAATAGAAACAAACTTATCCATATTGCAAATTATTAACATAAACCTACTAAAAAAATAATCCAGAGGAGCCTAGGTGACTCACTCAGTGGGTGTCCAGCTCTTGATTTCAGCTCAAGTCATGATTCGCGATTCACAGTTCATGGGATCAAGGCCTGCGTTGGGCTCTGCGCTGTCAGCGCAGAGACTGCTTGAGATTTTCTGTCTTCTTCTTTCTCTGCCCCTTCCCTGCTCATGTTCTGTCTCTCTCTCAAAAATAAATGAGCATAAAAAATTAAAAAAAAAAATAGAACAATTCAAAAAACTTGTGAACATAGTACTTTATATACCCTTCACTCTAAAGACGACGAGATTTCAGACAAATCTTCAATTCTGCTTAGGACATGTGATTTTTATAATGTTATGGATAAGCAGTTCTAAAATTATGGGGTTTATTATAGGATTGGGTTAATAAGTATATTGATGATGCTGGGATGCATGGTCCTCACTGTGAGAAAAGAGAGGTGTAAAATGGGGTAAGGCAAGGAAGAACCCTATGGAATTGGATTAAAATTAGAGGATCACTGTGAACTCATGATTTTTCAATTATCTATATATTGGAGTGAATCATATAAAATTGCAATTTTCCCTCTAGCGCTATCTACTGAAAGGGCCTAGAAACAATTAATCTTTAATAGCAGTGAGCACATCCAGTGTTTCTATCTATCTGTTAAATATTTTTGTGCACTGAAAGAAACTATGATTTTTTTTTTTTTTTTTTTTTTTAAGAGAGGGAGCTCATGAGCACAATTGGGGGAGGGGGCAAAGGAAGGGAGAGAGAGAGAATCTTGAGTAGACTCCATGCTCAGTGCAGAGCCCGACATGGGGCTTGATCCCATGACCCTGGGATAATGCCTGAGTCGAAATCAAGAGTCGGATGCTCATAGGACTGAAACACCCAGGTGCCCCAGAAACTAGGCTTTCTTAGCTGATTCTAGAGTTGGGGGAGGGAAAGCATAAGGGGAGCCTGCAAAGTCTTCTCGTGTTAGTAATTGTTTAAAATGATGGGGACATGGCAACACACAGGAAGCAGCTTTACTAAAGGGACTCCCACTGGCCAAATTCAGGAAAATTTGACTACCATAATGAATAATGGCAACTCATGGGATAAAATAAGAATCCATAAGTTCATAATGATTATGAATAAGATTTTAGAATTTAATTTAATTAGTTTTTTTTTTAAGAAATTAAAATTTTACATGGGAACTCTCTTCCTTACAGTATAAGGACAACTCATACATGTGGGAGTTACGATTTGAGTCATTGTTTTGCAACCATTAAAGTGTTTCAGGCAAGACTCTCACTTTTACCTCTAATACTGAATTTTTAACCAGTCTGCACTTTCTTCACTTAGTATAGATCTTAATACTGTTATTTTTTAATGACCATTTAGTTTGTTAATCTGTTCATAGGAATGTAATTTTGTATTTTCATTTCTTCTAGTCTTTCAAGATTTTGTTTTCAGTATTTATCTGCATACTTTTTAAAGTTGCCGTTCTGGATGCTGTTGTAGAACTAACCACAGAAGCATGTGACTTATTTTTCATAATGTATTTGTCTGGTTTTATGTACTTGAACAGGTTCTGTCATATTTCTCCATATAGTCTATACATCTTCTCACTCCCTCTCCTTTAGGACACCAGATATTAGGACTTTGCAAGTTAAGTTGGGATGTGGCGGATACAAGACCCTTCCTGTAAATTTTTTGTTAGAAAGCAAAGAACCCTTTCTTGAGGCCCCAGAATAATAGATTGGTGATACCCAAGAACCTTCTGCATATAAAGGCTGGGTAGAGATCACCTGAGCCCTTATTCCACTCAAACTACTAAGATCTGTTTTACCAACACTCAGTCAGCTCATGCATTGGTACTGATCACTGGCTCTAGTCTGTGCATTTCAGTCCTTGGCAAATTTAGTCAATGGGCCGTGTTGTCATTCAGTCTTATAAAACTGTTGTCAGATCAAAAAGCAGTAAAACATAATTTTGAAAGGAAGAAACTAATTTTACGTTGTGACACAATATACGTGTGTGTGTGTAGTTGAAATAATATATTTACAAAACAGTTGTTATCCTTACAATGTATGTTGCATGCTGGTATTTTCTATTCTGTTTTCTTTCTCCTTTAAAAACATTTTTGTAAGCAAGTCATGACCAGCCACATTAATCTCATTATCAATGGTAGTTCAGTAAACACTGAACAGAAGCATGAAGAAACAGAGTAATTTTCTTGAAGGAACATTTTTTTTTTTTAAATGTGTAAGTCACTCTGCTCTTTCAGGACCTGTTGTCATTTCAAAACCGAAATGGATTTAGCACGAAGCCAATGAAGTTTAAGCTTCAGGGTACCTTATTTGCCAAGGGACCCTGCTAAAGCCGTATACCTAGTTTTGTGTTTGTAATTTTATATTCTTTTTCTAAAGAAGGTTCTCCAGGACTGAAATGGATCATTCTTCACTCAGATTAGTCCAGTAAGCCTGCAGGGAGGAAGCAGTAAACAGTCATCTGATAAAAATATGGCTATGAGATTGGCAGAATCTGTGGAGAGGACAGATTTCTTAAATGGGGCAAGTCAGCAGGCAGGCCTCATTATTCTGTCCATTTAAACAGAACATGGAGGGGGGCGCCTGGGTGGCGCAGTCGGTTAAGCGTCCGACTTCAGCCAGGTCACGATCTCACGGTCCGTGAGTTCAGGCTCTGGGCTGATGGCTCGGAGCCTGGAGCCTGTTTCCGATTCTGTGTCTCCCTCTCTCTGCCCCTCCCCCGTTCATGCTCTGTCTCTCTCTGTCCCAAAAATAAATAAACGTTGAAAAAAAAAATTTAAACATTGTCTTCTTATTGCTCTGGTGTTTATTTTACTCAGTGTCAAACATTAATTTATTTAAATATTAATTAGTTTAATGGGTTATATCACATGTGTAGTTGGACATCTTTACATTCTGTCATGTAACTAAATGGAAAAATTGTGAATCAATTTTTAAAAATTATTGCAAAGTCCTGGACCTTAACCAAATTTCAGTATACATAATTTTCTAGCATTATTTTCATGCTTCATTTTCCTCAGAGAACACATACTTATGGTGTCTTCAGGATTTAAGATTTGATTTTACAAAATTACATGTATACTCTATAGATGACATGTATACTATTTCAAAATATCTTTTCTCTAGATTCTCCTGCACAGTCAGTATCCTCTGGAGTTCGTGCACCTTCGCCTGCCCCATCATCAGTACCTTTAGGGTCAGAGAAGCCCAGCAACGTCTCTCAGGACAGAAAAGTTCCAGTCCCTATTGGGACTGAACGTTCTGCACGTATCAGGCAAACTGGAACTTCAGCTCCATCTGTTATTGGGAGTAATTTATCTACATCAGTAGGGCATAGTGGAATCTGGTCTTTTGAAGGGATTGGTGGCAATCAAGGTAAGACTTGCTATCCTGCCTACTAGAAATTAAGTTTATGCATCTAACTAAAATATCATAAGTAATATGTAACTTTTACAGTCATTCTTAAAAGATCTGTGTTCATATCTCTTTGTTTTGACTAATCAGTTTTAAGAGTTCACCCCATTTTTTTATTCCCATGTGATCTCCCATTGAATTTATCATTGCATTCTGGAAATTGTCTAATACAAGCATATTGTTTTCTCCATTTCACTGTATTAAGGAGAAACTAGTATTTTCCTGGGACTCCAGCTCTTATCTTACCTTAGCAGTTTTTCTTTTGTAATAACCAGTGTTTAGGTTATTTTATTAGCCTATTATATCACTACCTACCAACACGGAAATACTGCAGTAAATATATAAAAGTAGGTCATTATTCTAAAGGGAAGCACAATTCAATGTGGAAAATTCTAGAAAAAAAATACAGAAAAGACTTTATTTTGCTGTCTTTTGATGTTAAATATCACCAACTATTTTTTTCTGCCTCTTTGTTTTCCCTCAGATAAAGTAGACTGGTGTAACCCTGGGATGGGAAATCCCATGATTCATAGGCCAATGTCCGATCCAGGAGTGTTTTCACAGCATCAAGCAATGGAGCGAGAGAATACAGGAATTGTAACTCCTTCTGGTACATTCCATCAGCATGTTCCTGCAGGATACATGGACTTTCCTAAAGTTGGGGTAATGGTGACTTAAATAAGCATTTTTATATTTCTAAATGTTTTTCTTATTATTAGCCTTATTTTACTTCCAAGTGGGTATTTATGAGATGATATGTGGGCTTCAGACTGTAATTATATGTCAAAATCTAGCTAAAATATAAATATTTATATCCTGATATTGTCCCAGTTGTTTAGAGAAATGTTCTTTGATAAAACATTTTGGCTGTATTAGGCTTATATATAATCTAATGCTAGAAGAAATCATATGATAGAAAATAATTTTTAGATTACCTAGATAATGTATATTTTCAAAATAAGATGAAGTTTCAAATATCAATTTTAATGCCATTGGTTATATTGGGAAAAGTAAGCAGTGACTTGAAGATATGACTAATGTGCATAATTTTTGCTTTCTTCTTTTTTAAGGGTATGCCTTTTTCTGTGTATGGGAACGCAATGATTCCTCCAGTAGCACCTATTCCTGATGGTGCTGGAGGACCCATATTTAATGGCCCTCATGCTGCAGACCCCTCTTGGAACTCCCTGATAAAGATGGTTTCGAGCTCCACAGAAAATAATGGCCCTCAAACGGTAAGGCTGATCATTCAGTGAACATTTAGTTAGTGTTTATGAGATGCCAAGACAAACAGGATACAGGTAAATCATGGTAGTGAGGGAGTATGGTGAATATGGGAAGTTGAGGAAATTGAGGGAAATTTAATAGAGCTGAAATACAGTAGAGAGATGTGGAAAATGGTACCAAAGGCATAATATATTTCATTGGGTAGCAGATGGTAGGCAAAAGATTTTGAGTTGCAAAGTGTTATAATTTTATACATCAAAATTTACTAATGGTGTGAAAAGGGCCATCTAGAGGTTACTTCTTTTAAGTATTTTAAATTGCAAAACAATGTAGAACTCTGAAAATTTACAGAAATTATTAGTGTATTTTAGTTTATTTTGGTGTATATATAATATCTTTGTCTCATTTTCCTTCTTTAATCATCAGTCTATATGTATTCAGGTAATGGTTTTTAAAAAATGATAAATCAGATCCTGTTTGAGAATTAAGGGCTTATCATTGCTTTTCTTCATTGTTTCTAAGCGTGTTGCAGATTGAGTGAGATTTAGCTATTTTACCTTATAGATATTAAGAGCACTTAATTTTTGTTTTTATCAAATATGTGTTACAGATGTAACACTTAATAAAATGTATGCTCGATTTTCATAGGTGTGGACTGGACCCTGGGCACCTCACATGAACAGTGTGCATATGAACCAGCTCGGCTGATGAGGATCGGCTTGTTAGCCTGCAGATTCCTTTTCATTCAGAGGAAATCACAAGTGGCCGAAAAAAATTCATGCTCCCAAATCATTCTACTGATGTGCTTGACTGAAGTGTGTAGGCTTTTTGCAGAAGAAGTTACTAACTGACCTATTTTCTGTGAACATTTGTGACTGCCCATTCCCCACCACCATCTGTTTTACCTTAGTTAGCATTTTTCTTATCATTTTTCTTTTTTTCTTTCCCTCTTCCCCTTTGGACATAACTTTCTGTTGAAGCTGTTCTTTGGCTGGTTGGTTTTAGTACTGTAAACTGCTTCTGAGCAAACACGGAAATTTAGCAAAATTATGTAAACTTGATCCTGAAGTTTTAGAATGGCAAATAAATGTACAATTGTTTACATAACAGAAAAGGCTAAGCAGAAAGTAAATTTCAATATGTCAGTATAGAGGCTCTACTTTATGTAGACTTAAATTAATGTGAGATATGTACCTTCATATTCAGAAATCTGGATGTTTCCTTCATACATTAAACTATTAATAAGCATAACTTTTCTGCTTGTGTAATTTAAGTATAAAGTAAAACAATGGGCATTATCAGTGAATGTTTCCCGATGCTGGCTTTTAAAATACCCATCTTGCTCTCTTTAGAGTTTGTTTGCAGCAGGGCACATATAGAAGAAATCTATCACTTTTCCATGTTTTTTTATTACCTTCTCACACTTTTAAAACTAATACACACTTCTCTTCACTCTTCTCTCTTCACTTTTACCGCTAATACCAGTAAAATTCTCTTGCTGATCGTGAAGTAATTTTGTAAAGATTTTTATTGTAATGGCTGCTACAGAGAAATGGAGCACCTTCATCATCACTTGTGGTTGCTTCTAACCATAAAATGTTTAGTTGTTCTGAGAATTTAAAAAGCCACCACTGGTTCCCAGTCAGCATATATAGGCTCTTAATATACTGTTTATTATTAAACAATTCAATGTACTATTTTATATTGGAAAATATTGATTCTTAACATTGGCTTTCCAGTCATCAAGAGTCAACATAAAAATTCCAATTTTCAGTAATCTAGTGGAAAGTATCTTTCCCCCTCCACCCCCCAATTTTAAAGGCTTCTTATTCTCTACACTTGTATATTATCAGTGAAAGGGATCAACAGCTAACTTGGGGCAAGTAATAAGGGTAATTTTGCATTTGTCACTAAGACAGTTTATGGTATACGTGACTACACAGAATACAAAATAACGTCTTCATTTTACCTGTTTATATAAGATACAGAGCCACACTAAACTACTCAATGGGATTTATCTATTCCATTCACTTAAAACAATAAACAATAACGTATTCAAGAAGAATATGTGTCCTACCCTGTCTCATATGGAAAAATAAATCATATGGTTGAAATATAAAAGAAAGTAAGCATAAAAGTGAAGTAATGAATGCATCAATCTCTCTCTCTCTCTTTTTTTTTTTTTTTAATTAAGCAGATTCCACAGTGGTAAAACTAAAATTTAGATAAATGACTCAGAGTTGACAATAGTAATATGGTTCCTTGGCTGTAAAGTAAATGAAATGATTTCTTTATTCTGGTAGCTTGAATAAGGAGTAAAAAGATTTCTCAAAAATGTCTAGAAGTTTGTAAACAACACATTTATATCTTTTAGGAAGTGGTCTTAAAATATATAAATTTATGATTGATATGGCCAAATTTAAGGGAAAAGATAAATGATATCCTGCAAACATAGCTATGAAATAAAACTACAGCACTTTACTAAGAAAGGTGTGTAATGCTATTTAACAGTATTTTATCTATGACTTTTGCCACTATCCTATAATTTTTTGCTTATTTTTTTTTCCTGTGTTAACTAGGATTATTTTATAACTAAAATAATCCTGCTAGGTAATAGATACCACCCAATAATTATTACAACACATGAGTTGTGTTCATTCACCAAAATTTGTTAAGATAGGGGGTGTCTTACTAAGAAAGAACCTATATTTTCTTGACTTTAAACCTATGGGACAGGGGGATATAGATTGTATGCTCCATATTTAGTTTTAGAGATCAGTCTTGTTGAGTACAATACCATGATTTTAGAAGTCTGTACTAGGAACATTTTTCAAATACATTTTTTATATTTCAGATGGAATGCACTGCATTTTTATTTGAACAATAAAAAAAGAACCCATAATCCTTTGAGACCATGCAGGTCTTTTTTTCCCCCTTTTTGAAAGTATATGGTTTGTGTAATTGCAGACTACATAATGTATTTCTTTCATTCTTTTAAGAAGTGACTTAACTCTTGGAAATAATATTTGGGTTAGATCACACTTCAAATACTGAAATAATTAATACCTCAATTGTGTAATCTTTTTTTTAATTTTTTTTTTCCAACGTTTATTTATTTTTGGGACAGAGAGAGACAGAGCATGAACGGGGGAGGGGCAGAGAGAGAGGGAGACACAGAATCGGAAACAGGCTCCAGGCTCTGAGCCATCAGCCCAGAGCCTGACGTGGGGCTCGAACTCACGGACCGCAAGATCGTGACCTGGCTGAAGTCGGACGCTTAACCGACTGCGCCACCCAGGCGCCCCTCAATTGTGTAATCTTTTTATACCAAGCATTCCATTTTAGAGCTGATTTTGTTTACCAGTGCCAACAGAATCCCCTTTTCATAAGTTCTCAACATATATCAACATATTCAGAAAAACTGATTTTACTATTCATGTGAAAGATATTTTCCCCTTCTGTTTACTGTTGTTGTAAAACTAAGTCATTTTGTTAGCAGTTGAAAATTAACTTTTTGTTAAATTACTATACTTATTGTGATTTTTCTTCTCAGGAAAAAATTGGCGGTGGGGTCCGTAGTTCACTGACTGATTCTGTCTTGTTTTTCATGAAAATATTACACCATCTTTCTTTTGACTCAAATGACCTAAATACACATTTGATAAAAATTATTTTGCACACTATATTATTCACTTCATCTTTCAAACAATACAAAGTGATAGACTAAAGAGGGAAATTCAAAATCACAAAGCTTCTTCAGAGCCTCTGTTTTATTTCATCTATTTTTCACATTGAGTTTTTCAGAAACACTCTCATTCCTGCAGATCTGCCAGTACAGAACTTTTGCAATGCCAAGTAGTGTAATGCACACCCTCAGAAAGCAGAGGCCACTCTGCTGTCCACCATTTTGGCCTATGAAAGATGTGGTAGGAGATAGCAGGGAAACCTGTATACATCCCACTGATCAATGCTTGCTTCACGAAAGTCCCAACACTCAACTAACTGGTGTTATTTCCAGGGGATGAATTTAGGATGAGAGCTTCATTAGTGCTTTAATATGACTTAACTGTGTTACTTATATACCTTGATTGCAAAACTACTGTCACTTGTATTTTGGGTGAGTAAAGAGTGTGCAACTATGGCTTGACATAAATAAGAGTTCTGTAATGTGACAGAATACATGACTAATAGATGTGTTATAAGAGGTTTCATATTAGACTTCTACCTTTAAATGCTTTCACACTTTTGAAAGCTGAAAGCCAATTTTGCATACTCGGTACTTAAGAACCATGATAAGAAAGATGAGAGGATGTTTTTCTTTAAAAAAATTTTTTTTAATGTTTATTTTTGAGAGAGAGAGGGTGAGCACGAACGGGGGAGGGGCAGAGAGAGAGGGAGACACAGAATCCAAAGCAGGCTCCAGGCTTTGAGTTGTCAGCCCAGAGCCTGACGCAGGGCTTGAACTCACAAGTTGTGAGATCATGACTTAAGCCGAAGTTGGACGCTTAACCGATTGAGCCACCCAGGTGCCCCCAAGATGTTTTTTGACAGAGAGAAGCTAATTTTACATTATGTAGCTTTGGTTTTGAAAAGCAATGCATTAAGTAAGTAGAGGAAAAAAATTCAACCTAAATCTGATTCCAAAAGGTCACTTTAACAATTTCTTATGAAAATACCTTTTAAAGGTTCTTTTGTCAAACATTTCAAAAGGCATATTTGGAAAATGAGAAATTAAAAGTACAAATATACAGTTTATGTGTGTAAATAGCCTATATTCAAATTTTGACCCCACTCCTGTGTTCAGCACTGATGGGTAAGAATTTCAGAAACTGCAGAAAGAAAATGAAAGTCTGTTTTTAAGGAGCTTAAAGTTAAAAAAAATAGTGACATAGTGAAGACAAGAATATTATAGGCTATTTATAAGCTAATTATAAATGTTGAACTTTAAAAAAGTGTTCTGGTATATTGTGCAAGTTCATTTGCAGTATTAGAGTTGACAAGATTTCATTTGGTTTGCTAGGTGTTTGTATGGTCATTTCATACTGTATTCTGCAACTCAAAAGATACAAGTTACCACAATGTTGGATAACCAGTACATACATACACATCAGCGCTAACACTCTACTTTTGTATTGGGCTTTTTAATTTTTTTTTTTTTAAGATTTTATTTTTTACATAATCTCTACATCCGACGTGGGGCTTGAATTTACAACCCGGAAATCAAGAGTTGCACACTCCAGGGACTGAGCCAGCAGGAACTCCTGTATTGGGGTTTATAATTGACAGATATTTCCCCCGCCCCAACATGCTTTACCAAGTAGATCAGTTTCGATCACCTCTAATAAATGAATGTTAGATATGTGAAATTAGTACAAAAATATCCATAAATTTTATTTAGATCACAATATTGAAGCTTACAGTAGCAAAACTTTAAAGTGAGAATATGTGACACCAATATGTATCCGAAAAGGTGGACCTCATCAACTCCGTGTCTCCTGCATATTAAAAGGTCAGAGTACCTAGCTTAAGTGCTACTGTGGAAGGACCAATTTCCAATGACACCAGTTCTCTGGAAGGAGAGGAACGCAGCATCATAGAATTTGCTTCTTTATTCCCACAATCTTTAGGTGCAGATATTTCCATTTAAAATTCGTTTCCACTTAAAATCAGTAGTGAGTAGCAACCAGTTGTTTCTTATTTACCTTAAGTAGAGTGGTACCTTCTTCGTTTTTTTTGTTTTTGTTTTTGTTTTTGTTTTTATTTTTCCTTTTAAAAAGGAACATCTCAGGGGTGCCTGGGTGGCTCAGTCAGTTAAGCATCCAACTTTGGCTCAGGTCATGATCTCCCAGTTTGTGAGTTTGAGCCCCGCATCGGCTCTGTGCTGACAGTGTGGAGCCTGCTTGGGATTCTCTCTCTCCTTCTCTCTGCCCCATTTGCACTCCCTCTCTCTGTCTAAATAAATAAATAAACTTAAGTTTTAAAAAATTTTAAAAAGGAACATGTACATATAGCATAAGTTGGGATTTGTGTGTTGAAACATTTCAAAATTCATGTAGGTGCAAAATTTGTAACTGCAGTTTGACATTACCCCAACATTTGTTGGAGGCTTGTTTTAACCAACGTTTTACTCTGCACAACACAATTTGGGGACTAGGACTAGGAGTAACCCCTATGTGAGTAAACTCCTTCACGTCATTCCAGTTTGTGTGTACTGTTGTTAGGAACACAAAACTAAAAACTACTCCGTGTAGATTTAGCCTATTCCTTTTAACCCGAAGACAAAATGTTACTGTTGAGGCTCTTGAACGGTTCTATAGGATACATGTAAACTAGTAAAGAATACACCGTGCTGCCAGTGATTAACCCCTCTTAAGTAATGAGACTATCTTAATAAAGTTTTGCTCTTTATAATGGAAGATAAAATGACACTCAGTTTGCAGTTGGGCTTGAAAATGTTAATTAGAACAGGTAAACCAGTTAAATCTTTATACTGTAGATAGAACTATGCCTAGTACGTAATGGATGCTCATTAAAACTCAGGGTCAGCCAGAAACACATGCCTTTCTCCAAGCAGGCATTTCGGCAGTATAACCTATCTCAGTAAGTAGCAGAAGCAATCAGGTTGCACGTAAAGAGGTGGGGGACTACCCTCTCTGGTCACAAAAACCACCCACCCAGTCTTTACACTAAAATCACACAATCAGTTTGAAAGTGAAAAAGAATAGGGGCGCCTGGGTGGCTCAGTCCGTTAAGCGTCCAACGGGTCTCAGGTCGTGATCTCCCTGTTTGTGAGTTCAAGCCTCCCATCGGGCTCTGTGCTGACAGCTCAGAGCCTGGAGCCTGCTTCGGATTCTGTGTACCCCTCTCTCTCTGCCCCTGCCCTGCTCGCACTCTGTCTCTCAAAAAGTGAATAAACATTAAAAAAACAAAAAACAAACAAACAAAAAAAACCTACTAAAGTGTAAAGGAATGGAAAGGCTCACGCCTCACACCGACTTAAAAGGCGAGGGCTCCTATAGACAGCCCGGTCCCGCCCAGGGCAGCAGGCCCCGCCCCCGGCAGTAGGCCCCGCCCCCGGCTCTACAATTCCGGTCCAGCGTCCGTGGCGCTCCAGGCCAGCAGCGGGAAAGTTTTGTGTCTGCGCAGTAGGCCTGCCCGGTGCCGCGTGGGAAAGGCGGGACTTTCCTACCTCCTGCGTCATCGCCAGTGCGACGCAAGACGTCACTGGCTTGAACGGGAAGGTCAATAGTAGTGGAGCGAGCGCCCGTTTTTCGCTTTGGGTTTCCGGCGCGTGCGCTTGGCTGTCTAGGTGCCGCGGATCGTAGCCCGATTCTAACCTCTGATGCCTGTGTTTTAGCTCAGCCCCGGCGCCCACATGCTGTGCCGGCTTGGCTGTAGGTGGCTGCGGCCGCTGCCTGCACTGCAGTTAGGAATCCGGGTCCCGCCTCTTGCGCCAACCTCGACGGGCGGCATTAAGCACTCTGCTCTGCCCGCTTGGGCGGTGGCGTCAGTCTCTGCAGTGGGCTCCGGCGGCCCTGGCAGCTGGTACGAGGCCCTGGCCACGTCGGCGCCGGTGCAGGGCGCGGAGGAGGTGCTACTCGGCGTGCACACCGCCACTGGCCTGCCTTGGTGGGCCTGCATCGGCCTCACCACCGTGGCTCTGCGCGGCGCCGTCACTCTACCCCTGGCCGCCTATCAGCACTACATCCTGGCCAAGGTGAGGGCCACCTGCACCCTGCGCATCAGCTTCGGCGGTGAAGGGTGGTAGACGTCTACCGGGGGCTTAAAATCCCTGGCTGCCGCCGGAGTGCTTAATGTAAATCATCGTGACCGCCTTCTTTGCTAAGAAATTTAACTAGCACTGGATATGGAATTGAGAGATGTCTGGTGATATGTGTACTTGTCATGTCGTTTACCCTGCTGGGTTTGTGCTCCAAGCCCAAGTGGTTGCTGCTGCTTGCTGCTAGAGAATGAGAGAAGTAAAAGAATTAGCAGAAGAAGTTGTGTGGAGAAACCTGTAAAATTTCCGTCTTAAAGGTTGTAGTAGCCTGTATGCCTGCAGCATCTTTTGTCCCCGAGTATTCCAGTTCACCTTATTGAAAACAACTACTAAACTAGCGATTTGCAAACTTGGTTCCTTATTCAGGCCCTGCTGCCTACAACTCGGGTTAGTCGCAGCCACTTGACCTTCAGTGTTTCGTTATTTTTTCTGTGGAATCAAGTAGTAATGCCTTCCTGGCCTACTTCACAGTGTTCTATCAAATCAAATACTGTAGGTTAAAGTGCTTTGAAAGCAAAATATTATTCAAATGGGAAACTTCAAAAATAATGTCTTAACGTGTTTTCAAATAATTATTGAGGATGCGGAGACCCGGAAACAAAGGAAATTATCACCATTAAGACAGTGACGTGCTGTGCAGAATTAACACAGAACAGAAATAAATACAAACTTTTTGTGGCTCTGTCGCTGTCACAGAGCGTATTAAAGACTCTTAATTAATAGACTTCTGTTTTCTCAGTTTACATTATTGGAAAATCCAGGGGTGAAACATTCTAGGATTCAGTTCTTATTTAATCCTTATAATAATTCTGTGAGGTAGGTGTTGTTAAACATTTTATATTATCAGGAAACAGGGTTTTACAGCTTAAGTAACTTGCCTGAAATCACATGGCTAAGAGTATGAGCTGGAATTTGAAATTTGGTTGTAACTGAAGATTTCTTAAGCAAATTAACATCTTCTGCTTAGACTTAAATTTTCTTGAGATGATCAGTAAACCACATTTCTGAGTGAGTTAGAGGAATATTATGAGTGGTTATGGATAAGATCCTTTATGTGCTCATAACAAATTCTACGTTTTCTTTAGCTAGGTGGAAAATTTGCAGCCAGAAATAAAAAACATTGCAAGGCATCTTAACCAAGAAATTGCAATTCGTGCAAATCAGTTGAAATGGTCCAAAAGAGCTGCAAGGTGAGCTAATTCTGTGCATATAGACCTACATATGTATGTATATATATACATACACTTACATACATACCCAAATTGTGTCTGTGATTATGTTAATTAGAGGTTTGAGTATTCTGTAGCTGTAGCAGCAAAGTAGTTCTTTCACTCTTTAATATTTTAATGCGTTTGTGTGGTATGACAGTTTCATATAGTGGACTGAAAGCAAGAAGTAGAAAAACAAAGAGCAAGTTCCTTCTTGAGGGACTCCAGCCTCCTGAAAAAGACCTATAATCAAATAATGACATAACAATTATAAAAAAGGTTATGTACAAGTTCGGTCATCATGGAAAGTCAGGGAAGGCTTCACAGGATGAAGGTACCGTGCCAGTCTCTTGGAATTTTAGTCAGCAAATGATACAGAATATTTATACACTTGACTGTTTTGGAAAGAAAGGTACAGCAGACAATAACCCACAAGAAGGGGGAGGTAGAAAATGTGAATGTGTGAATGCCACGGTAGAAGAAATTAGATAGCCAAGGTGTTGTCTGTCCACTGTGGTTACCCTGTGTAGTTGTCTGCCTGGGCTCTTAGCCCTTAGAAAGTGCTTGAATGGGCTGCAATTCTATGCCTGCACTCAGCCACTGGGAACTTCTAAGTCCTGCTTCAGTCAGCCTAAGTTACTAGTCAAATTCTGGTCCTTACTAGACTAAGTGTTCACCAGTTCACAGCAATGAGAAAAATAAGGGTTTTTATTATGAGTATATGATGTATATATGGTTGTTCATATATTTTTACCTATATGGGTAGACATTTGCCTACTATTTTCAACATGAAATTGCTTCCCTCTTCACTTAGTGTTGAAAATTTGGAAAGACCTGCCATTTATTTTTATTTCAGAGAGAGAGAGAGAGCAAGCAGGGGAGAGGGGCAGAGGGAGAGAGAGAGTCTCAAGCAGGCTCCACACGCAGTGCAGAGTCTGACTCGGGACTGGATCCTGCAACCCTGGGGTCATGACTTGAATTGAAATCGAGAGCCAGATGTTCAACCGACTGAGCCACCCAGGTGCCACAGAAAGACCTGACATTTAAAAAAATCATTGTGGTAGCTTAATATCTTTACTTGATAAACTTAACAGTGTTTAAGTTTTATTGATCAGAGAAATCTAAGGACAACAAATCTAGGCCAAAATAACAGATTCATAGCTGCTCATCTGAGTTATAAATGCAGCCTAGACAAGCCTGATACCTTGCTTATGCAGTACTGGCAGAATGATTTTCCAGATACATCCTCACACAGATAGATGACTTTCTAGAAAGACACATCTGAGGGTTTCCTGCATTTTCAATGGAACTGAGTCTTGAAGGGTAAAAGTGAGTTTGTCAGGTGGATAGCCAGGTAAGCGGACTGTCCACGTAGATGATTTAATGACTTCCAAAAGCATGCTGATGTAGAAGTCTGATTTATTGGATAACCTATGTCATTTAGGCACCAGAATATATAGGTGTGTGTAAAAGAGTAACAAAAAATAAAGTTCAAACAGTAGGCAGAGTCTAAATTACAAAGCTTGGGATATCTGTGTACTGTCTTAATGTAATACTACACTATAATTGTGTTACCTTCAAGCGTATTAAATGTCTACCTTGTACACAAACCTGCTACAAGAGAATTAGAGATGAGTAAGACCCAACAGTTGACCTTCAAGGAGACTTTGATCTAGAAAGTGGGACTTAAGGCAAGAGCAGGAATAACTAATAGGATTAACAGAGAAACATGAAGAAAATCTTCATGAAAGAATTGAGGGGCACCTGGGTGGCTCAGTCAGTTAAGCGTCCGACTTCGGCTCGGGTCATGATTTCACAGTTTGTGAATTTGAGCCCTGCGTCAGGCTGTGTGCTGACAGCTCAGAACCTGGAGCCTGCCTTGGATTCTGTGTCTCCTCTCTCTGCCCGTCCCATGTTCATGCTCTGTCTCTCTGTCTCTCAATAATAAATAAACGTTAATAAAAAATTAAAAAGAAAAAGGATTGAAGAATGGAGACCATTTTAATAGGTCAAGAACATACATATTACAGAACCACATTGCTATAAAAGGTATATTCAGAGATCAAGTAATTGAGCTTGCCTCGAATGGAGGGGTTTTAGTTAAATGTGCTTTCCCCTTTAGAATTTCTGGTACAGACTGGTCAGACCATGTCAGTAGTGAAATTTCACTTGTTAAAACCTAATTGGCCAAAGACCATCAGAGACAAAGCTTATAATCCGACAGTGTCAGATTTATCAGATTGTTATATAATTTGTGTACATTGCTAGAGAATTTTCTGTAAAAGGCTTTATTTGCCTTTTGTTAGGCAACCCCTTAATATAGCCTATGAGAACTAAAAATCCTGCACAAAACTTTAGCTAATAACCACGACATGGGTGTGTTTGTACTATGGGTATGAAGCACTGTTAGTCAAATGACATTTTCTCCTTTCCCTTTTTTTCCCTCTTCCTTCAAACTAGACTCACTTATCTAAAGAATATGCGGAGGCTTGTTTCAGAGCTGTATGTTCGGGACAACTGCCACCCTTTCAAAGCCACTGTGTTGGTCTGGATTCAGTTTCCAATGTGGATCTTCATGTCCATTGCCCTCCGGAATTTTAGCACAGGAGCAACACATTCAGAAGGTAGTTATTATAGAAGTCTCTTTCCCCCAAATAAGTTCTCTAACAATGTTTTTGTACTCAAAAAACAAAAACAAAATGTGAAAAATCCCTATACTTTTTATAATTAGTATATTGTCACCATCTTTCTTACAAGGGTATAGGTTTTAAAATATCACGTATTAGCTAATTAGCCATGTTGAGAAAACAAATGAATATAGAAAGGACAATAGTAATAGAGTTGACCCTTGAACAACACAGGTTTGAACTGGGCAGATCCACTTATAGGTGGGTTTTTTACAGTACGGCACTATAGATGTATTTTCTTTTCATTATGATTTTCTTAATAACGTTTTCTTTTCTCTAGCTTTATTGTAAGAATTCAGTATATGATACTTAGGTTATAGGTAAGGCTTCCAGACAACAATAGGCTTTCAGTAGTTAAGTTCTTGGAGAGCCAAAAGTTATACACAGATTTTCAGCTGCTCGGAGGGTCAGCACCCCTAAGCCCTGAGTTGTTTAAGGGTCAACTGTACTTCTTCATGGAAGTCATTATAAATTTAGTGTTATAATTCCATGATTAAGTTTTCTGGCCAAGAATTTCTTCTGTATATAAAATTAAGAGATCAGAAAAGTTTTCACAGTTATGAATGTACACGTTAATTAAGAAACAGTATAAACGAAAGCATGTATTTTTTACTTTCATTTAAAGGCATTTCTAACCAGAAAGTAATCTGAACAGAAAGAAAGTAGCCTATGGACAAATAATTATACAAACACAAGTCTGAAAGAGTGCTGCTACTCTATGCTCCTACAACTGTTTGCTACAGAGAGCTTCTTGCCTCTTTCTCAGCACAGGAAGGACTAGTTTATGTTGTGGAATGAAAACGAATGAAAGCAATACATGTCTTCAGTGTGAAAGACCCCTTATTTGAATTAGACTACTTATGTCTTGTGTATTTCTTCCTGCTATGTTTTATTTATGAAACTGTTTTAGCAGGTTTTTCTGTTCAGGAACAGTTGGCTAATGATGGGATCCTGTGGTTTCGTGACCTCACTGCACTAGATTCCACTTGGATTCTGCCTATCTCTGTTGGTGTCATCAATTTACTAATAGTGGAGGTCAGTGGTTTTAAATGAGATTTGTTTGCCATTAGAATCATTGAGATTTTTGTTGCTGTTGCACCATTTGAATTGTTGGTGATAGCTCTGAGCTAGAATTGAGATTCGTTGGTTTCTGGTCATAGATCAGACATTGCCAAACTCTGTCTGTTTTAAGCCAGTTCCTTAATCTTTCTGGGGGCCACATGCTTATAATTAGAATGGAGGAGCTGAATTAGAACACTTCCAAAGTCTCTTTCACCTTTACAATGATCTGAATCTAATACATACAATTTTGTGATTTGTTTTTGGTAAAGAGAGTAATTAAGATGCTTATCAATCTGGTTTTATTCTTCCAGTAGGTTGGCAATTTGTGTGTATATTTAAAATGTAAATTTGTAAGCAGGAAACACCATATCTGATTGTCATTTTTTAGCTGTATGACCCTAGAAAAGTTAGAACTTAACTTTATATGATGGAGTGGAAAAATACAGATATACAAAATATGAATTGTCAACTATGTCTTACCTTTATCCCATACTGTGTTACTCAGCAGTTTAGGGAAAGCAAGCTTTTAGTTGTATGAGGAGCTGTTCTCAGACTTTGAGTAGAACATAGTCTCTTTGAACTGGAAGAAACCTTAGAAATGATCTTTAGAACTTCAGTTGAGATCTCACAGACCTGTCACTGGTCTCTGTTTGGGGAATCTAAAATACCGTCCTAAAATGATGGTACTCTAATGTCTTGGGTTAAAGTTTCTTGAGAAAAGACTCCATGTGTAGTCTAAGTGTTTTCCTAAGATCACCTAGCACAATCCTCTGAATGTGGTTGGTACTTAGTGAATATTTGTTAGAACGAAGGAAGTGGTAAACACAAGGTCACAGTGAATTAATGTCAATCCTTAGTCTTTCCTTTTAGTGACTAATGACCCAGTATATATAAGTTTAAAAAAACTTATTTTTTATTTTTTTAATTTTAGAGAGAGGGAGGGAGAGTGCGAACCGGGGAGAGGGACAGAGGGAGAAAAGAGAGTCTTACGCAGGCTCAACGCTCCGTGCGGAGCCCAATGCAATGATCTCATGACCCTGGGACCATGACCTGAGCTGAAGTCATGAGTCGGATACTCAACCAACTGAGACACCCAGACACCCCAAGAAAATTTATTCTTACTTAATATACACCATGTGGCAGGCACTGTTGTAAGCAATTTACATGAATTAACTTATTTAATTCTTAGAATAATCCTGTGATGTAGCTACTAATATTACCCCTGTTTTAAGTTAGAGAAAGTGAGGTACAGAAAGGTTAAGTAACTTGTACAAAGTCACATAACCACTAAATGCAGGGCTGTTCACATGAATCTAGACAGTTTGGATGTAGATTCTGTGTTCGCAATTATTACACTATGCTGCTGCCTCTTAAGTAATTCATAATCATAACTGCTTTTCCTAGCCTGGTTCTCCCCTTATTCCATGGAGTCAGATCACAAACCTTTGAAGTACCTATTAAGTTCCTTCTTTATGCCAGGCACTGTAATGTAGGTGCCAAAACAAGGGTAGTGATTCATACATAGTAGCTATCTTGAAAGGACTTTCAGTCTTACAATCTTTAAAAAAAAACACAGATGATCAACCATATACATTTATCAGTGTTTTATTTTTAGCTTTTTTGCTTCTATTAAAATATATGTAGGTGGAGGTCAGTCAAAAATCAGGTTGTATTTTAAAGCTTGTCTAATTTAATATGCTTAATACTCATTGTGTGTGTTTATATTCTACTCTCTCAGATTTTTGCTCTGCAAAAAACTGGAATGTCTCGGTTTCAGACGTATATTACGTACTTCGTTCGTGCAGTATCAGTGTTGATGATTCCAGTTGCTGCGACAGTACCTTCAGTGAGTAAGCACGGGCATTGTGTGTAGTGTGCTAAATCCTCTCTGTGCATAGCTTACACTGGCTAGGATTCTGCCTCTTTTTTTTAATGTTTACTTATTTTTGAGGAGAGGAAGAGAGATCTGAAATGGGCTCTGCTCCGACAGCAGAGAGCTCCACATAGGGCTCGGACTCATGAACCATGAGATCATGACCTGAGCCGAAGTCTGACACTTAACTGATTGAGCCATCCAGGTGCCCCAGGATTCAGCCTCTTCTATTGAGCTTCATTTGACTAAGTCCCTTACTGGTTTCCAGGTTTCTGTAGTAATTAATCTATCACCAAGTGACACTCGAATATTTCTTGGGTTGGTTAATCTTCCTCTGTGTGAAAGTGAGTTAACTGTCAACTCTGTTTCTTTTTTTTTTTTTTTTTTCAGTCTTACACAGCGCTGTGAACATAGTATTTGCTCTGTTTAATTAGTTGAAATATTGAATTCCTTCTGTCTACATAGACTGGGCCAAGGAATTTAGCTCTTAAAAAAGAAACAAAATTTCATGCTGAGTCCATAATGGCTCATATATAATATCGCTTAACCTCATAAAAATTCAGTGAGATAGGTACATCTGTCCCCATTTACATGTCATTACACTCTGATAGAAATGGAAAAAAATAGTTAACGTTTGCAGTTATTTCCTATTTTCAGCCTTTGTTTATTTCCCAATGAAACTTTAGTGCAAAAGGGCAAAAGCTGTATTTGGCATTATCTCTGTCTTTGCTGAGGGCCAACACATAGACCATGAAGTAGAAGTCATTTGTTGGTGGTATGTAAAGTTATATCTGCATATATGAAAGTACTTCATTATCCTAAGAATCTGAACCGGTATGTTTTTAGCATCAAAAATGTATTTTTAAAGCTGTCCCTTGGCCATAATACTGTCACTAATCCTGTGTAAAATAAGTAAGTCTCCACATTTCTAAAATAGACATCGTAATGTCTGTGAGAAGTAATGAAATAGCAACAAGTGCTTATTATGGTACTTTTCATGTAATAGTAATGTTGTAAAATACCCTGTGAAAATAGAATAGTACAGAGTCATCGCATTTCTGGGGGAAAATAATACCGGTTATAACTAAGGAAACTCCCTGATCAAATAAGATAGGAGCAGTGAGTTTTCCGTGAGGGATTGGGTTTGAAATGGGTGACAGAGATCTACAAAGCAATGTCTTAAGTACCCAAAAGTTTATTCTCTCCAATATAGGAAATTCAGAGTTAGGCAGTTTGGGGTAGAGCTGGTATAGCAGCTGCGTGAAGATAGGAGAAACCCATCCGCCTTCTCTCCCTGTGTTCCATCATCCACAGCCTGTAATTTCTATCTGTAAGGCCACAGGATGGTCATGATGGCTGCTGGAGCTTATCTTGCAGGATTGGTAAAAGGGTGTTTCAAGTGCAGTTATCCTCTTTAAGGAGCCTTGCCAGAAGTCACACCAAACACTTGTGCTTACGTCTGACTTATGTGGGTCATAACCTAATTGCAGAAGAGGTTGGCAAGTAGTCTTTTTTTTTTTTTTTTTTAAGATAGCAGTATACCCAGCTAAAAAAGAGAAGTTTATTACTAAGGAAGAATTACTCTTAGTAGGCAATTTCAGGGTAGTTTTTGTGTCCTGGGTAAGTTCAGATGATGATGGCCAGTATTTATTTGATACTGACCTTGTGCCAGGCACTGTTTTAAATGGCTTACATATTTTAGCTCATATAATTCATCCAGTGTGCACCGAAGTGGGTGCCATTATAATCTCCACTTTAGTGATGAGGAAATGGGCACACAGAGGGTAAGTAACTCACCCAAGGTCACTCATTTATTAAGTGATACTTAACATCTCTTTTTTTTTTTTTTTTTCAACGTTTATTTATTTTTGGGACAGAGAGAGACAGAGCATGAACGGGGGAGGGGCAGAGAGAGAGGGAGACACAGAATCGGAAACAGGCTCCAGGCTCTGAGCCATCAGCCCAGAGCCTGACGCGGGGCTCGAACTCACGGACCGCGAGATCGTGACCTGGCTGATGTCGGGCGCTTAACTGACTGCGCCACCCAGGCGCCCCAACATCTCTTAAGTATCTAAGGCACATCCAAGCAGTTTGGCTCCTGCTCATAACTACTATGCTAATCTCCTTTGAGGATGTGTTACGTTCTGCCCCTAAGAATTTACTTTGGAACAAAGGCAGGTAGGTCACCTACTGTGCTTAGCAGTCTCTGTAAGTTATCACATTTTTCCCCCCAGCAACCTTCTGAAGTAGGTATAGTTCAGTTCCCATTTTACAGATGAGGAAACCAAAACAGAAGGAAAATAACTTCCCCAAAGTCAAATAAATGGAATTCAGATTCAGGCAGTTCTACTCTGGGACGTGGACTAAACCGCCATGGGGTCATGCCCCTGGAGCCTGATCACATTCTGATGCCAAAGAAAAGTTTGGAACAGGGATGTATGTATGGGAATATTTTGAGAGGCTACAGAACTTAGTCCTTGACCTAAATAAGTCACCCTGGATGGAAGTACAAGAGAAAGTGGAAGAGAGACTGTCTCTGACAAAGGCTAAGATACTACATTCCTGACTAAGAAGCTGATGACTGGGGACATTATAGACGATAGATCACTGTGTGGAGGGAAATGGGATCCAGGGAGCCTGAATGGCTGTGCCCCACAGTACCCTACCTCCAGTACAGCAGCTTGTCAGGACTCTTGTTCGGGGAAAAGTGTGCTGTATTGCCAAAGAAGGGAGGTGACATCTGTCTTGAGTCTCTGCCTGGGAGATGCTCTCTGTCATCCACTTTCTATCGTGAATACCTCTCCTTTTGCTTTCTTTTCACTTTTTGGTCCTTTCAGCCCCCTTTCTTACTTACTAGATTCATGACAGGTATCTAATAGCCGCTACAGGTCTTGCTCAGTCTGGTGCACTGCTATTTACAGAGATTGTAATTTTCCTTTTTTATTGCCTGTCTGTCTCTGGACGTCAGTGTCCTTGGAGAATGGAGAAGCACTAACATTCACGTCCTTTCTTCTCTTTACAGTCCATTGTCCTCTACTGGTTGTGCTCCAGCTTCATGGGCCTTTCACAGAACTTGCTGCTGCGTTCTCCTAGGTTTCGCCGACTTTGCCGAATACCATTGACCAAGTCAGATTCAGACACTCCTTATAAGGACCTCTTTGCTGCCTTTTACGCCAAGTTCATTTCAAGAACATGATAGGATTTCCAGTAATTTTGAAACAATTGGAAGTATAACTATCACACTACATTTAAGTTTAGAAATTCAGATGTGATTTAATTTGTCTTTATTTAAAATCATGAATTGTGTGAAGTACTGTGGGTTAAGATATAATACAAAAGTAGAATCAAAGTGTCTGGTTCTGCTTATAAAATTACAACTTGCTAGAGGTGCCAAAACTTTGGAAAACAGGATTAGATACTGAATGATGTTAAATTACACTGACCAATCTCCTACATTAAAGTTTTTTAAAGTAAGAGAATCCAGTGAGGTGATTCTTAAAATTTTGGTGGTGTGGAGGATCATAGACCCGTTTGCACATCTGCTAAAGCTATGGTTTTCTTTTCAGAGAAATCCTGGAACTCACAATACGGGGGCCTTCATTGACAACCCCTCTGCCCTACACCAAGGCTCTCTGGTGATTTCCTGGTTGAGAACTCTTATTCTCATGGAACGTACAATGATGAGTTAATGTGTGACTTTTAAAAAATGGACTTAAGATACATGCAGTAGAGTAGTCCATACAAGAAAGTACCTAATATGGTAGGTGATCTTGCCTTAAGACCTGCTCGGAAAGAATACGAAACGGGTACATTCCTTTTTCTATAATTTAAGACATCTGGAATAGAGTACAGCACTAAGTATTACTAGAGCCCAGAGTGGAAAATCTTAAGCATTAAGTTTATTTAGTCAAAGGAAGAAAACTGGAATGGTGGCTACCTATTGTGGATGTGATTTTATAAACTTTTTTATTTGGAAGATTAAGTACTCTAATGGGTTTATTATGGTAGACATATAGGTGAAATTAACAGGTAATATAAATGGTAGATCCAGTTTTTTGATTTGAAAAGATGATAAAACTAATTGTGGAATAATTTGACAGTTACTTAAGAAGGTGATAAATTGTAAGTTTTCATTAAGTTGGAATGCGAATACAATCCAAGATGCCCTGCCATCCCAGCTCATGTTTTACAATAAAGTAAAAACTAAAGCAAAATCAATTCTTTCTTAAATAATGTCTATTACGTCTTAGCCATTTTGGTTGCCACCTAATTGAGAATTTAGAGGTAGCATTTAGGATCTGGTTTTCTTTTCTTGACTTCCCAGTCCTGGGTTGTGATTGCCCCATTGATGGAACTGTCTTTCTAATCAGTGAAGGAATTGAAACATATGTACAGTCAGTCCTCATTATTCACAGATTTTGTATTTGCCAATTTGCCTACTCGCTAAAATTTATTTGTGACTCTCAAATCAGTACAATGCTTTTGATGCCACAGAGTGGCAAAAAAATTGAGTCATTCGAGGTACATGTTCCCAGCTAGGTCAAATAAGGCAACACTGTGCCTTCTTGTTTCAGCTTTCATACTATATAACCAAGTGTCCTTTACTTGGTCTATTTAGTGCCATGTTTTTTCTCATTTTTGTGCTTTTTGTTGGTGATTTCGCTATTTAAAATGGCCTCCAAGTGTTGTCATACTGAAGTGCTGTCTAGGGGCGCCTGGGTGGCTCAGTCGGTTAAGCGTCTGACTTTTGCTCAGGTCATGATCTCGCAGTTCACGAGGTCGAGCCCCATGTCAGGCTCTCTGCAGTTAGCAGGAGCCTGTTTCAGATCCTCTTGTCTCCCTCTCTCTCTGCCCCTCCCCATCTTGTATGCTCGTGCTCTCTCCCTCTCTCCCTCTCTCTTTCCCTCTCCTCCCTCCCTCCCTCACCCCTCTCAAAACTAAATAGATATTTAAAAACAAGTCAGTCAATCAATGAAGTGCTGGCTGGTTTTCCCAAGCACAAGAATGCTGTGATGTTCCTTAAGGGGAAAATACCTACATTAAATAAACTTCGTTCAGGCATGAATTATGGTGTTTTGGCCATGAGTTTACTGTTAATGAATCAGCAATATATTTTATTGAGTTGACAAAAACGTGACAAGAGGCTTGTGGGAACATGACCCTTTTTTTTCTCTTGGAGCAATGGTTTATGTTCACTAAGTCAGTTTTTGTGGTAACTTTGTAGAATATAACAAGAATTGACTTTCTGTAATGTGCAATCAAGGAAGCAGAGGAAGAAATGGGTATGCTAGTTGTATTATAGCAAAAAGAGGAGAGGGAGTTTGAAATACTGGAACAAGTTGACTCTTGCCATGTGTATCATTGTGTACTGATACATACATTTTTCTCATAATGGGGTGAAGGAATGCAGCCCTCTTTCCCCATCTTACTCTAAGAAGTTGTCACTTTCTGAAAGTAAGAAATGAAGGAATGCCGTAACTCCCTTTTCCAGTAGGTGAATGTGCTTTCATGAGCATGCTTTTCCTTGTTTACTCTGATTCCTCTTGATTTCTAAATGTATACTTAACATCTTTTTTCATATAGATAGTGTACCTAATTTCCTATTGCTCTCCCATTTTCAGACTTCTTGAATTGCTGTTACAATGTATGTAAGTTTATTTAAGAATATTTCTCCCAGATCTCAGAATAATTTCTGATAGGGTTGGAGGTAGCTGGGATCTTGGAAAATACTCATGAATAAAGAAAACTGATACATTATGAACAGAGTTGAATCAGTCACCTGACTTCAGGCTGGTAAATATTCCTCTCATTTCTTTCTCTAGGCAGAGTTGTTAGTAAATAGCAAGTCCTAGTTCAGAAAATTTCATCTGTGGTCTTTGCTCTTACTTCCCCAGCAGTTTGTCATAGTCTGGAGTGTTTCCAGAGCCTGAGGTCAGGGGAGGTGGGTACTGGATGCACACAGAGGACACACATGCTGTTAAGATCCCTTGACAACTTCCTGTTGGATGCTTCTCTGTCCTGTGCCGCTGAGGGACTGGCAGAGCTCTGTCCTGGACACTGCAGAGTTCAGGAAATCTTTCTGTCTTTTCAGATGGAGAGCATAATCTATTTGTGTGTGTTACCCTTCCTCATTTCTGGAAGTCAGTCTTCTTGTTTGTTTGTTTGTTTGTTTGTTTCAGGTGGGCCTTGTTTTTGTCTCTCGCCCAGATTCACTTTTTTTTCTGGGTATGACTCAGCCCAAGAGTTAGGAAAGAAGTCCTGGATCTGTTTATATTATACCATGATGATACTGGAGCTCGGAAGTATGTTAGGAGATGGAACTGTCATACCCAAATAACTAAATTAGTTTTCCCTGGAATCTCTGTAAGAGAAAACCTGAACAGTCCTATCTTGGCCAGATGACATAGGTGGGAAGAGGAGGCTCACTTAAGTTAAAGGCAAAATCCTTGATTGCCACCTTCACAGATAACCAAGGAGAGGATGGAGAGCAAACCTTTCTAGGTACATTTAAGGTGCTCTAGGTACATTTAACCTTTCTAGGTGCTCAAGAGCTAAAGACCAACCCTCCCCTCTCAGAAGAGGTACAGCTAGTTCTAGACTGTATTGGGGAAATTGTAGTTTCTGAGGAAAAGTGGGAAAATGAGGGCCCACCTAAACCTTAGTAATTTCTCTGTTGTGCATGTATGCTTCATTCATTCCGTGTGTCTTCATAGGTTTCTCCTCTGAGGATCCCAAGAATCCCCCCGCCTTTTTTTTTTTTTTTTTTTGAGACTCAACCTGTTAAATTGCTTCAATACCAGAGTAAGCCCTGAAAGCAGTAGGAACTCAGATCCTAGAAAAAAAACTAAAGCATGGAGTTTGTTTTTCTCCTGGGATGATAAGTGAAGTTACGACAGAATGCAGAATTTTAAATTTCAAGTATGACCTGTGAATCCGTGCAAGAATTTGGGTTTCCGTATTAAAGCTAAATATGCAAATGTGATATAAAACATGAGACTGTAGTTACAACAGATCATTACCAACACTTGTCTGTTTTTGTAAGCTGATTCTACCAGAACACAGATTATCTGGAAATGCTGCGAATCTATAGAAAATGTTCTGAATGAACCTATGGATATATATATAGTTTAAAGTTGTAATAACTGATATTTTCTAATTATTTTTATTATCTTTTCTTTTTATATATTCTGTATTTTATGCAATCAGTATTTAGCTTTGGGACATTTGAATTTGTGTAGTATTAAAACCATAGATATTTCTGAAATTTTGGACCTCTGTGTTTAAACAAGTAAAATAAGTATATTCATATATATTTTTAATATATTCATATATATAACATGTATGAATTTTCGTTCATGAACATTTCAGGCAAAACCTAAAGACTTTGGGGGTACCTGGGTGGCTCAGTCGGTTGAACATCTGACTTCGGCTCAGGTCATGATCTCACGGTTTGTGAATTCGAGCCCCGTGTGGGGCTCTGTGCTTACAGCTCAGACTGGAGCCTGCTTTGGATTCTGTGTCTCCCTCTCTTTCTCCCCTTCCCTGCTCACACTCTGTCTCTGTCTGTCTCTCTCTCTGTCTCTCCCTCTCAAAAATAAACAAACATTAAAAATGGGGCGCCTGGGTGGCGCAGTCGGTTAAGCGTCCGACTTCAGCCAGGTCACGATCTCGCGGTCCGTGAGTTCGAGCCCTGCGTCAGGCTCTGGGCTGATGGCTCGGAGCCTGGAGCCTGTTTCCGATTCTGTGTCTCCCTCTCTCTCTGCCCCTCCCCCATTCATGCTCTGTCTCTCTCTGTCCCAAAAATAAATAAACGTTGAAAAAAAAATTTATAAAAAAAAAAAATAATAAACATTAAAAAAAAATTTAAAGAGAAAACCAAAGACTTTGAATTTACATGTATTCTTTGCTAATTATATGAAATACAAAGGTACAAAGGTACTCTCTCAAAATCTTTTGAAAAAAATGAAAAACTGGTACTGTGGTCAAGCTAGTGCTAATTGGGGGCATTCTTTGTTTTTCATCAGGTTTTGTTTTTTCATAATGTTGATCAGATTTTTTGTTTATATAATTATTTTATTACTTAAGGTGTTTCTGTACCCATATATATACTTTTAAATTTTAATTTGAATATAATTAACATACAGTGTTCAATTGGTTTCAGGCATATAGTATAGTGATTTAGCAGTTTTGTACATTTTTTAGTACTCCACATGACAAATGTATTCTGCATTGAATTGGGGAAAAACCTTTAAACCTGTAAACCTTGGTATGATGATACATTACATTAAGTTGGTATAAGTATCTTATATATTTCAAGATTTATGGTATCGTAGCTTGCAAAAAGCAAAATAAGTTTAAAAAGCTTGAAAAATCAGGGTAGTACTTAGCAAATGTTTAAAATAATGACAGTATATAAAAGTACATTAGTTTTAATATTACTAAAATTAAATGATGGGTGAAGAATTAGCTTATTCAGCCAGAGAGTGTGCATAGGAATTATGTATTTGTAATTATGTATTCAGTCCTTAGAGAATGTAAGTAGATCATATAATTGTGAAATTAGATTGTTGTGCAGAATTCTGGAGACTGGGGCTTTGAGTATTTTGCATCATCTCAAAGTACAGTAGACTTTTCTCTGTTCTGGCAGGTGACAGCCACAAAAGAAAGCCACCTCGTAAGAGCTTTGAACTATCAGTGGCTGCAATGCCGACAAAGCAAACTGAAATAAATGAACCAAACGTCATCAGATAAGGACAGACATTGTCACGGAGAGGAATGGTGACTCTTGAACAAAAACAAAAGGAATGATGAAAAAATCTTTATTCAGTAATTGTGTTGCATTGTTATTTTGGAACTCTTATTGTTAGGTAAAATATATAACGTCTATTGGGTATCTTAAGTTTTCTTTGGATGCTGTAACACATTCCTTTATGGCACTTAGGCAACTAAGAGGAAGATGTTATTGACTATATTTGTTGGAGATTTATTTTAAAAATTTGTAAGTGAAGTATAGTTGATGTACAGTATCATATTAGTTTCATGATATTGCAGCACAGTGGAGATACATAAGATAAATTCTTTTCAAGTTTTTCTTTTAAGATAGCTTCAGGGATCACCCCTGAGAAAGAAAGTGGTCCCACAAAGAGGGTCCTGCCTCCCTGCAGTTCACCACCACCGTACTCAGAAAGCCTAGCCTTCATACCTATTTGACTTAAGACCTTCCACGATCTCAGTTAGGAACTATACATAAAAGCATTTTGGTCCTGGTTGATTTCCATCCATAGGAACATAAGACCCGGCCAATACCACAAGGGGAAAAAATTTACCAGCTTGGCAATGGCAGCAAAATTCCCACAAATCAGCTAAACCAAGAAAGTGCTTTCATACTGAGGCCTTGCCTAGTTCTTAGAGCCATAACCTTATGCTCTTCTGTAACTTGAACATGAGGGAGATCCTGATACAATTGCCCCAAAGGAATTGCAGAGAGAACCCTGGCCCCTTGCGTTCGATCACAGACTGCCTTCTTGAACGCCCTGTGTTTTGGTAAGTTTTACAAAGTCTTACCTTTAATTACCTAGTCCTATACTGCTGGTTTTGTTTAATAAAATGAGGACTTCTGGGTGTTGGGGAACAAAAGCGCTGACAGAAAGACCTGAAATAAAACTAAAAGTACTCCTAGAAAACATCACTTCTACTGAGGTATTCAATCTAAGGTAACAAGACATTTCTATCCTTGAAAGTCTCTGCTAGACTCCAGAGGGCCAAGAATTTCATGAAAAAAGAGGCCTCCGGGGAAAGTGCCCAATTTCTATCTTTTCCATTTCTAGGAAATATCACAAGCACACTTCTCTCCCTTTGCATCCCTGATAAGGCAGTTTACATTTGTTTTGCCTTGGTTAGGAAAGCAGCACTGTATTTAATTTAGCTTTGATTTTTGTCTTCTGGCTAAATTGTAGCTCTCCAGGGAAATTTAAAAATGCATTATGAAATACACCTAACTCTATTCCTTTCATTGCAGCTGCATTTCTGCATATTCCAACCGTAGTACAAATAATTTGAGGGATTTCTTCTAATTACAACCTCAAGCCTCCTGGATCTTCTGTGAGTGATGGCTGCTTCTGAGGGTAAGGAGTATTAAAAATGTAAATTCTTTATCTATGAGAGAGCTAACAGCTTCATATTCCATGCTATTTAAAATTTATCCTATATGTTGCTACAGGTAGGAACCCTCATAAAATTTTATTATAGAAGCTTCTGTTGTGCTTGACTTTCCTAATAAAACGTCTCTGGCTATATCCAGCCTGATCACCAGCCCTTTCTGTCATGTATTCTCCAGAATTTTTCTTCTTCTCATCTAGGCTTCCTTTTTCTTAACTAAGTCTTCCACTGTGCCTCTACTCTCCCAAACCTTTCCTCTGTTCTTACGTCCATTATACAGTAAACAAAATTCTCCTTGCAACTCAGGATGATGGAAGGTGAAAGACCTTTAATTTTTATTAGTAGATCATTATTTCCCTACTCATATGTAAGAAAACCTTTCTGTATACACACCAACTGGATCTACCACTACCTGCGCTGGTTTCTGGCATCTATTGGCCGTCTGGTCACCCCTGTCATTTACTGGCTTCCTCTCTATCTTCAGGGCTGCCATCACAGTGGATGACTTCAGTAGCTAAGTGGACGTCTTGTTAGGTTAGGCAGTTTGTTAGGTTCCTAACAGGATACCTGGAGGTCACTAATGAAGAAGTCATGGCCAGCTATGGGGAAGGTCAGAGGCCTGTCCTGGCAGCACTCCACAAGAAGCAGGATCAAACCCGACAGGCCCAAGATGGCAGATGCCATGAAAGGAGACCCTTGGCCAAATCAGGAAGAAAAAGCTCAGAAACCCTGCTTCCCCACCACTACCCAAGTAATAAATATTCTGCCACCTACTTCACTGTCAATAAAAGATAGAAACCCGACCGCCCGCGTACACAGCTCCCTCACTGGCCAGCTTAACCTCCCCTTCTCTCTCTCTGTCTTTCCCTCTTTCCTTCTTTCTCTGTGTCCCTCTCTTCCCCCTTTTCCCTCCCTTCAGCTCGCCTGTCTCCTATCTCAAAAGCGTACTTTTCGCTTTAATAACCTTTGCTGCTTGTGTTACTCATCTGCTATGCTATGTGTCTGTCCTCGAATTCATTCTTGTGACAAGACCAAGAACCTTTGGCAACTCCTTTGGGTCTGGCTGGGTCGAGGCTCCAGGACCCAGGGACTCCCCAGTTCACCTGGCAACAGTCTCATCTGACAACTTTGTCACCCAGTCGTTTCACCTGCTACCTGAGATATGTTAGTAATTCCTTTCCAGTCTTCAGGACTAAGTATTTCACCAGGTGATGACAATGTGTACCCTGCAGGCCATAGATTATCGGATCTGGGTTGTTCATGTAGCCCAAGCAGGACTCTAGGAAATTTAATCTAAGAGCTATGAAGACACCAAGTCAATTGGGTAATTGGTTCATGCTAGACCAACCATCACACCAGCCCAAACCCACAGGCATGCTACAGCTAAGACTTTGCACAGAAGACAAGGGTAGCAGAGAAAGCTTACGCAAGAAGAGAAGAGTCAAAATAACACCATCTTGCAAAAGAAGCTGAGACTGAGAGATCCCAGTCTCTACCCCCATAAGAGATGGAGTGGGTGGCCAAAATTCCAAAATTTGAAATTGCAGCCACGTATTACTTTCCTATTGCTGCTCTAGCAAATTACCATAAACGTAGTGACTTAAAACCACACAAACATTATCTTACAAGTTCTAGAGGTCAGATGTCTGATATTGGTTCCACAGAGGTGTGTTCCTTATAGAAACTGTCAGCGAGAATCTGGTTTCTTATGTTTTCCAGCTTTTAAAGGTTCCAGCTTATGACCTGCCTCACTCTTTCAATTGTTGGATCCCCCCCCTTTCACTCTCACCCTCCTGACCCCCTCTTATAAGGACCCTTGGGATTATTATATTTGGCCACCCTGATAATCCAGGATAATCTTCCCGTCTCAGGGGGCGCCTGGGTGGCTCAGTCTGTTAAGCATCTGACTCTTGATCTCGGCTCAGGTTATGACCTCACAGTCGGTGAGTTTGAGCCCCACATTGGGCTCAGTGCTGACAGCATGGAGCCTGCTTCAGATTCTCTCTCCCCCTCTTTCTCTGCCCCTTCCCTGTGTGCGCTCTTTCTCTCAAAATAAATAAAATCTTACCATCTCAGGGTGCCTGGGTGGCTCAGTTATTTGGGCATCCAACTCTTGATTTTGGCTCAGATCATGATTTTGCGGTTTCTGAGTTTGAGCCAATTGGGCTCTGCCTTGGCAGTGCAGAGCCTGCTTGGGATTTTCTTTCTGCCCCTCCCCTGTTCTCACTCACATGTGCGCACGCACGCTCTCTCTCTTAAATAAATAAACTTAAAAAAAAAAAGTCTTCCCATCTCAAAATGCTTAACTTAGTCACATTTTTGATCTCGTTCCTCAGGTCCAAGCACATCTTGATTAAGATCTGTGGAGGTGAACATGCATCTTTATCTTCCATGCCACAGTGGTAGATAGTCCTGCACTCTCTACGTGCAAGGAGTCATTCCGTCTCCATCTGCTCCCTTTGTCTTCCTATCTGTAGCCCCCTGTTTGCTTACAAGGGTGGTGGTAGGGAGAGCAGGGCAGCTTTTTTTACTCTTAATTAGAGTAATCCCTCCAATTTTTGTGTTAGCTGATGTCAGTGCCTTAGGCGGGATGTGTTCTCTTCCATCCTCCCTTGGGCAGGAGGTTATTAAAATGCCTTTCCAAGAAAATCCTGACCTTCGCCTCTGATGCCGTCCATCTCAGGGAGACTGCTCATTCTACCACTACATAAATGAGCTTACAGTGGTCAGTTGTTTTTTATGTCTGAAGTGCACAAATGCCATTTTGGGGCTTTTACCTGTCTTGCCATACCTGGTGCTACACCAGAGTGACAGATGTCTTCTATATCTCAGTGATGTGCTGAGGGATCAGACGTTCATTTCCCCCACCCCACCCCACCCCCAGCTTAATATCGCTGACACCTTGTCACTGATCCTAACATTGTTTAATGGAAGCAGGGCACACGCTCAAAGATCAAAAATGACAAGGCAGTCATGCAGCTGGTAATTCCTTGTGGCCTTGTAGGCATGGCAACCCACACATTGACTCTATTGTTATTTTTGTTCTGTATGCAGAGTTGCTGACATCGTTAGTGAAGTTTTGTTAAAATCCTTGGGTTCCCCTGAGGATAAAAGGGAATAGACACACACACACACAAAGTCCTTCTAAATGGGACATTTCATATGGCCACTTTTCACATTTCAATTTTTCCTTTGATCACATAGAATAAAAGCAAAAATACTTTTCCCTATTTTTCTCTACCAGAAAGTTGGCATAAAATGATCCATCAGCAAAACTGTATGCAGATTTTATTCTCGGATTTTCTGAAAAAGGTCCCTGGATACAAATTCTATGGGTTTGGTAGTTAAAATCAGGTTACCACTGTGGTGGGTAATATGTTCAAACGAATGTATTGGCCACAGGAGTCACATTTCAGTCAGAATGGTCAGTTCTCTTTGGCCTGAAGAGGAATTCCTATATGAGCTCTCAGAGTTCATTTGTTCCCCACTTACACACAGAATGCTTACCTGCAGACTTCTTCCCCCCGTAGGACCAGGAGGGAGTGACTCCACTCTTCTTCCAGTGCCCATGGCCACCAGCGGTCATCAGGAAAGAAAAGACAAAGTGGTTACCTAGTGAAAGAGTAACCTCAAGTGAAAATAGAGAAATTCAAAATCTGAATTCTTGAAGGAAAAAAAAAAAACAAACCCACCTGTAACTCCCAGGAGTAATATCTCTAGTTCTCTAAAGTAAATGGGACAGGGCCAGGGTTTCAGCTGAAGTCTTCTAAGGGACAGATACAATTTCTTCCAGATTTAGTGTTTTTGTTCCACCTCAAGTAGGGTTAGCTTTTTTTTTCTGAGCTAGACCTTTATTTTATTTCAATTTTCTTTACTTGCCGTAAGACTGCTATTGACTGTTTTATAGGGTTATTCTTTTAGTCCCAGATATATTCAGATATTACATGCATACTGCCCTTTGTCTGAGGCAAGGGTCTTCAAACAGGTCTAAAATGGAGTCAGTTCGGTTTGTCTGAGGGGTCAGATCTCAGGCCTGCCACCATCAGTCAATCCTTTGCCCACTTCTGGAAGAAGGTGTTCTTTCTTGCTTTCTTTCAAGAAAAAATAATGGGCCTGGGGAGGTATTAAATCAAAATTTTCTTCTCTCATTCAGTACACTGAAGAGAAAAGGTTTTCCTCCTCTCTTTCTGTTGTAGACAGTAACCATCCAGAGCACCATCAGCATAAATCTTGATCCGAAAATGCTGGGCCTGAGAAGAACATTCTAACTTGGGGGCCGGGAGAGGGGTATAAACTTTTTCTTGAGGTTTAGCAAGAAGGGGCACTTGACAATTAGGTAGTTTGGAGAATTAGGCAAGGGTGTTCTCCTGAAGGGGAGGAATAGTTTTCAGATTAGTAGCTATGGTTTGGGCAATTTGGATTGTATCAAGAAGAGTGGAGAGCAGTGAGGGGCTAAGGTCATTGTGTAGGAGAGAATAGATAAGAATGGTTGCAGGAACTCTGGAAGCTTCTCAGTTCCTCAGGGCCTCTTCCACTATTTTTAACACGTAGGAAAGCAAGAATGTTTTTGCACATAAAAAGGAGGCTATTTCATAATATTTTGTAAGCATCATATATTCACTTTCCTTGTAGCATTATGTACCTCTGGCCAAGACATAACAGATCCTCGCAGGATGTTGTGGAAGAACAAGAAACGGTATTCACAATCTACCAACTCATATAATTTACAGGAGAAGGAAGAACTGTTCTGTGGTAATAGCTGAGAGTCCCGGTGTTTCCCATAATAACAGTATGAGTCCTCTGGGAAAATAGCCATTTCTTAAATTTAGAACTGCCACCGCCACCACCACCACTGAGCACTTGGCTCAACAGTTGGGGCATTTTGAATTCCCAACAGAAAATACTGATCTATTTTAGCCAATTTTTCCCATGCCATATTCTATATGTATCTTAATTTTGCAGGACTCCAAAATCCAAATACTCTGGTATTAATACATCAGTAATATGGTTTTGTAAGTCAGTAATTTTCTCTAATGAAACAATTATTTTTCTAGGATACTCCTTAAAAAGTGGAGGGCCTCATATTGCTAATGTTATTTCTCTTTAACACATTTTCTATCTGATTCAGTGATGGATAACACCTAAATTCCAATTGATCATTTGCTTTTCCATTGCTGAGTTTCATTACTAGGCCTCTTTTTATTATAATGGATAGCAGCCTAATTCAATCTAACTTCTATTAGAAGGGGAATCAGGGGCACCTGGGTGGCTCAGTCGGTTGAGCGTCTGACTTCGGCTCAGGTCATGATCTCACGGTCCGTGAGTTTGAGCCCCGCGTTGGGCTCTGTGCTGACAGCTCAGAGCCTGGAGGCTGTTTCAGATTCTGTGTCTCCCTCTCTCTCTGACCCTCCCCCGTTCATGCTCTGTCTCTCTCTGTCTCAAAAATGAATAAAACATTAAAAAGAAAAAAAGAAGGGGAATCAATTTATGTAGCTAGCTATATATAGCTATAAGCTAGAAGACTACCTTATGTAGTCTAGGTAATGTTGGTTTTAGGCATGGGTGGTCCTGGAGCTTAAAAAATATTATCAAGACCATTTTCCTTTATCTTTCAACTTTGTTTTCCTTTGGGATGCCCTGATTCTTGTCTCAAGTGGCAGATATGGCCACTAGTAAGTTCTAGGCTCATGATATTTCTTCAGTTAGTGTTTTTTATATTTCTAGAAAATGTTCCAGGAAAGACCTTGATTGGCTTATGTGGTAGGTGGATTAATGGCTTCCCAAAGATATCCATGTCCCAATTTTTAGAACCTGTGAATATGTTACCTTACATGGCAAAAGGAACTTTGAAGATGTGATTAAGTTGTGGCTCTTAAGATGGGGTGATCAGGGGTGCCTGGGTGTCTCAGTCAGTTAAGCATCCGACTTCAGCTCAGGTCATGATCTCACAGTTTGTGAGTTCAAGCCCCACATTGAGCTCTGTGCTGACAGTTCGGAGCCTGGATCCTGCTTTGGATTCTGTGTCTCCCTCTCTCTCTGCCCCTCCGCTGCTCATGCTCTGTCTCTCTCTTTCAAAAATAAATAAACATTAAAAAAAAAAAAAAAAAAGACGGAGTGATCATCCTGGAGTATCCAGGTGGGTCTGAAGTAGTCACAGGAGGAAGGCAGGAAGTCAGAGAAGAGAAAAGATGCTGTGCTACTGTCTTTGAAGATGGTGGAAGGGGGCCATGAATCAAGGAATGAGGTGGCCTCCAGAAGCTAGAAAAGGCAAGGAAACACACTCCTTTCTAGAGACTCCAGAAGGAGCACAGCCCTGAAGATCCATAATAGATAATAAATATATAATAAGTTATTTTAAGTCAGTAAATTTGTGGTAATTTCTTACAACAGTAATAGGAAACAAACACAGCTTTTAATGATTGCCCATCCCCGAACCAACTGGTCAAACCTTAGTGTAAGAGTTTAGGTGTAGTCCACTGCTCAGATATGGGTTATGTGCACTCCCAGAACAGGGTTGAGGTAAGTCCAACCTAAATCACATGTGTGGAGTGAAGGAATGAATCCATCCTGTTCTTAACTACTCCGCAGCATGCATATCCATATGTGTGTGTATTTATATACATTTGTATTCTCATGATCCAATTAGCAGTCTCTTTGGCCTCTTGTTGAGTGATCAAACACTGGTATGAAACTTCTCAGTATTTTTTAGTCTTCTATGAAGGCCACCAATCCATCATGTATCAAGGCCAATGCATTTGTGGCATTTAACCCACATATCACCTTGAAGGCAGAGGCTACAAATGTTTCATAACTCTCCTCTGTTTATAGTTCTGATACATTTTATTCTTACTCCTTATTCTTACCACAGCCTATAGTCCAGATTCAGCCCATCTGGGAACCATTTTGTGCTCTGACAGATACCTTTAGCTTTCTCTATCTAGTAACATACAACATAAGCTACCTTAGCTCTTGCCCTGACCATCATAGGCCATCACATTGGTTCTGATGTAATCACTGCATATCTATTCCCCCGGTCAAATTCTGTGAATGTATCTTCCCTTTCTAGAAGTGATCCAGATTTCAAAAAGAAATCATCAGTCTGATAATAAGGATGTATATACCACTTTTCCTATATTGCAAAGAAGCTCGGTAAAGGAATTGACCTATTGGGTTTGAAGAAGGCATGGTTCCAGTCTTCTCAGTTTATATACTCACTCACTGACTTCAGTGACCAAATCACAAAATGAAACACTATTTCTCTCTCCTTATGAAGATTCCAAACCCCAAAACCACCTTATTTTGGATCCACTTCTCTTGGTACCATTTTGCTAATAATTTTGGTTGCCAAGGTGGATTGTCTCTTAGCTCAGTTCTTTTTTATGATTTGCTTCAGGCACAACTTGACACTCACATGCCCCTGGGGACACTCCTGTGGGAAGCTGTGAACTATAACTTGGTCACTCTGCATATTATCTTAGAGATAGAAAACTGATGATAAGGAGAAATTGTTAAAGGAAAGTTGGGCACTTGTTCCAACATGGCTTTTTTTTCCCCCACTGGAGAAATGCAGGTGTCTGCTGTTAATTGATGAGGGAAAGCATGCCCTACCTCTTTCTCAGCTGAAAAAAAAAAAACAAAAAAAAAAAAACAAAACCACAAAAAAACAAAAAACACAACAGAGTTGCAAATGAGGTTCATTCAGCTCTCAGTTCAGGTTTGCACTATAATTTAACCCATATAACATCCATTGGGGGTGAGAACTTAAGAATGGCTTTATTTTACCCATTTCATTCTCCATTCATGTAGGTGAGCTTTCACTTATAGCCTCCAATGGGGGCAGGGAGGGTGGTGGCATAAGTCCATCCCCTTCATCACAGAATCTCATCTGGACATTCTTTTTTCAAGTTTATCTTGAGAGAGAAAGCAAGAGGGAGGGGCAGAGAGAGTGAGAGAGAGAATCCCAAGTAGGCGCTGCACTGTCAGCTTGGAGCCTGACACAGGGCTCGAACCCATGAACTGTGAGATCATAATCTGAACCAAAATCAAGGGTTGGACGCTTAAACGACTGAGCCACCCAGGCATCCTGGACTCTCCTTGAGCTATTCCCACGGTCCTTGCTCCTCTTAACTACTTCTCTTTCATCCTAATCCCAACCTACTCTGTTGTGGGTGCTCCTGAAATAGGTCTCCTTTTTTGTTCCCCAAGATTTCTGTGCTGGACAGGTCCAGAAGATAGAGGAGGGTAAAAGTGCTAGTCTGGCTGGAAAGTAGAATATAAATTTTAAAAAGATCTGACACTTTATATTATAGATGTTTATTTCCTATCAACATATCCCTTTCCTTTTATATCTTACGTTAAAAGCCTGTCCTCTGCCCAGCACAGACAGCCCGCATTCTATCACCTAGGTGTAGAAGCTTTCAGCTTCCAGGAAATAGGGATGGGTGAAAGAAAAACTCACCTCACTATGTCGAACAAAAAATAAGGTGGCAAATGTTAGCTTGGTCAACTTCCTGACACCAATTTACAAACTTCACATCCACTATCTTTACCCCCACTTTCTCTCCTGGTACTATAAAACACATGTCTTTTTTATTATTTATTATTATGTATCATTTGTTACTCTTTTTTTGATGATCCCTCCAGCAGGGACCTCACTGCCATGCTTAACTTAATGGTTCTCCTCCATCATCCAGCATTGCTTAATCTGTATCTTTCAGTATTCCATGTTATTCTCTCTCTCCCTCCTATCTCTCTTCTCCCATTCATACTCATTTTATTTATAAGTCATTCATACTAGCTGTCTCCACTCTCTCATTCTTCATTTCCCCCCAGTTTTCATCACTTTGACCTTTTGATTTATGCTCTAGTTCACTAATTTGTTCTTCAGCTGTCTCTGTCCTTCAGGTGTGTCTACTCAGTTCATCTACTGAGTTTTATTTCAGTTACAGAATTTTAAATTATAACTATTCTTATATATTTTTGCACCAGCCTATTTTGCTACAAGAATATGGTATCTTTTTTTATTAAAGCTTCTAAAGATAATTATACTTTAAAAATCACTCTCGGGGCACCTGGGTGGCTCAGTTGGTTCAGTGTCTAACTTCAGCTCAGCTTCATGATCTCATGGTTCATGAGTTCGAGCCCCACGTTGGGCTCTGTGCTGACAGCTCAGAGCCTGGAGCCTGCTTCAGATTCTGTGTCTCCCTCCCTCTTTGCCCCTCCCCTGCTCATGCTCTGTCTCTCTTTCTCCCAAAAATAAACATTAAAAAAAAAAAAAAGAAAGAAAAATCACTCTCAGTTTGTTGTATTTATTTTATTTCCTCGGGTTAGTTCTGCGTATTCAAATTTATGCTTATGTTTCAGGGTGTGATTTTTGCTTAACTATTTGGTGATTCTTGGTTGTGTTTTTGTCTTTGACTTAACTTTCTCTCCTAGCTTCTGTTATTGTAGCATCTTCCAGTAATTATGAGGAAAAGATACCAGGTCTTCTATGGAGAGTGCTCCTTGTAACTCTTGGGTGTAGCTAGCCATTCAGGACATAGCTTTGCTTTGTGTGAGGGCACGGCAAGAAGACAGCTGTCTGGGAACCAGGAAGTAGGTTCTCAGCAGACACCAAATCTTCTGGCATCTCATCTGATCTTGAATTTCCCAGTCACTAGAACTGTGAGAAATAAATTTCTACTGTTTATAAGCCACCCAGTCCATGTATTCTGTTATAGCAGCTGGGGCGGATTAAGACAGCATCTGAGTTGGTATAAGTCAAGATTAGAAAACTCACCACCAGCCTTCTTCAAGTATTCAGGAATCTGAGACAAAGACATCTGAACTTTGAAACGACTGGAATTGTTGCCCAGTTTTTCAACCTTCAGTTTCAACCTTCAGAGACTTCTCACTAAGGATATTCATTTCTGTGTGAAATTAGAAATAATCTTATAGGGCACCTGGGTGGTTAAGCATCTGACATCAGCTCAGGTCATGATCGTGCAGTTCATGAGTTTGATCCCAGTGTTGAGCTCTGTGCTGATAGCTCAGAGCCTGGGAGCCTGCTTGGGATTCTGTGTGTCCCTTTCTCTCTGTCCCTCCTCTGCTCACACTCTATCAAAAATAAATAAACATTTAAAAAAAAAAAAAGGAAGAATCTTAAGTTTCCAAAAAAGAGAGTTGACTCAATTTTTTCCTGTCTTTATAATGCAATACAGTGGAAATGAATGAGGCTGATGGAGAAGATAATGTCATTGAAATATTCATGACAAAATTAATGAGAGAAAATTACATTATAAAACAATATGTGCAGAGATTCTTTAAAAGGAAAAGCTAGGGGCACCTGGGTGGCTCAGTCGGTTAAATGTCTGACTCTTGATTTCATCTCAGATCAAGATCTCATGGTTTGTGAGATTGAGCCCTGTGTCGGGCTCTGTGCTGACAGTGCAGAGCCTACTTGGGATTCTCTCTTCTTCTCTTTCTGTCCCTCCCATGGCTATGCTCACACTGTCTTATTTAAGTAAATAAACTTGAAAAAAAAAAAAAAAAAGAAAAGTTAAATGCTTATAGAAAGGATAAACCACAAAATATAAAGTGATATTTTCAAGATGTTAAGATTTGGGGGATTTATATAGCCTTTTCTGTGAAGCTAAAATTTATTTAGTGAAATGTACTACTTTGTCATCATAAAAAGTGTTGTTATACACACATTTTCAGAAATCTATCTATTTGGATAAATCAAAAACCTATATAATTGTTCTGGATCATTAAATAACATCCTAATTCTTTCATGCACAATTGTAGTTTTAAAAAGTTGCTATAATAATTTAGGTGATTAATTAAAGATTGAGCTAAAATTATACCACTTAGGAGACTCATGATCAACTTATGGTAAAAACAAGAAAACAATGTCTAATGTTGAGCCTTTTATTCTTTAATTTTTTTTTTTTTGTATCTTATAGCAATAGCAAGATAGCAATTGCAGCAGTGGGTAGGTGGGCACAGTTCTGAGAAAAATATTGCAGAAGTGGTTCTTCATTGCCAGCGGAAGCTCATTGCTCACCCTGCAGGCTGTGTCTTAGGCAGTAGCCCAACACTGCCCACTAGTGGTTTGTAGAAACAAAGCATCAATGCCAATAAAGGGCAGGTGTTTTGCGTAAGCTTTCTTATACCTAGGACTTTTAAATTAGAATGAAAAGTTGTGTATGCTTATAGAGTTTTGCAATTCATAATAAACAGCCTCCTTATTTTATAGATGAGAAAACTGAGAAGTTAAATGAATAGCCTTAGATCCCACAGCTACATCGTAATAAAGATGGGAGTGGAACCTGGGACTCCATTGTCCCTAGCCAACATAATTTTTGCCAATCTGAGCTACCTTAGCTTTAAATTAGTTGGCTGATCTCTTAGAAGTCCAAGGTATTTGTCAAACATAGTCCTGAGTTGTAGACTCAATTATGCACAGGAAGCTTATGGCTCCTCATTATTTTCAGCCATCCCTTAACTTTTCCTGGTGATTTGTGATACTTTGGATATAGATAGACCTTTGAATTTTGGGGACCTATTTATTTATTCAAGTTAATGTTACATAGATGAGATGTGCATATGGTTAATTTAAAACATCACCCAGATATTTGGTTATTGCTGATGAGATAAAGCCATCACAGGAAGGCTAAACTTTCTGGAATGCACTCCTTGTCCCTGATAGCAATGGTAACTGGCAGAGTCTAATAACATTTATTGCAGACATATTTTCATTGTTAAAAGGGCATGTTGTTTGTTGAGTTAAGGCTTGTGTGGAATTATTATGGTTTCGGTTTCTTGATCTCCTTGACACCCACAAGTAGAATTGTGGCCTTTATGTTGTGCATTTTCTTGTGGAAGAGGCACAAGTGAAGAAACCACAAAGGTGTTAACAAGTGAGATGGTGATACAGCAAGTCTAACAATTTGACAGGATATGTATATTTGCATATCTCCTCTTGATTTGGTCTTACTACCTCCCCCGACTGCATTTAGATATGGGAGCACTTGATTAATTTTCAAGTCTGTGATTAGAGGGAAACTCAGCTGCATTTTGAAGCGACTTGTAGATAGAGTTCACTGAAATGAGAGTCAGACTTATGATTAATGCCTCTAGGTGGTGCCTGTGACCTGTATTTGGATTCAGTAGCTTATCAGAGACAGGAAGAATACTATAGAGGAGTGTGTGTGTGTGTGTGTGTGTGTCTGTGTGTGTGTGTGTGTGTGTGTGTGTGTTCCACTTTACAAGCTCTGTAGGGAAACAGTGTTAAAGACCAAAGAGTGAGCTTGGGGACCCTTTATGGTTACTCAGTTTTTATTTTTCCAATATCCTTTGTTTTTTCCCTCCTGGGAAGGAGAATTCACGAAGTTGACATAAAGAAGGAGGTGAAACCCAAGGAAGAAATTTGGAATTTTTAAAACTTATGACTAACAGTTTATGTTTTTAGGGGTGAAAAAAATGACTCTTTCATGTATATATTGCATCTAATATTTGTCTAATAAGCATATGCAGAAGGCATTCTGTTAGCATGCTACTCTTTTTCTGTGATGTGTCTATATAGCCAGTCTTTTTCTCTCCCATTGTTTTAGCCCTCTCTACTGTGCAGCTTGGGAAGGTTGATTTGATCACTCAGGTGTTTTTTTTCTGAGTTGACCTCCTGTGTGATCTGGAGGTTCTGTTAGTGTTACAGTGTAACTAAGGTGTGTGTCCATGTATTAGTCTAGAAAGCAGAGCTGGAAGGACCTTTAGAGATCAGCAAGGAAAGGAGTTTTCAAATTCTCCCTTTGTGTGATCAATAACATTTCAAGCACAGATTGCCTAATCATATCTTGGGTTTAGAATAATTAAATAAAACAAGCAAATAAAAAAGTCGCATAAGGGGGCGCCTGGGTGGCGCAGTCGGTTAAGCGTCCGACTTCAGCCAGGTCATGATCTCACGGTCCGTGAGTTCGAGCGCCGCGTCAGGCTCTGGGCTGATGGCTCAGAGCCTGGAGCCTGTTTCCGATTCTGTGTCTCCCTCTCTCTCTGCCCCTCCCCCGTTCATGCTCTGTCTCTCTCTGTCCCAAAAATAAATAAACATTGAAAAAAAAAAATTAAAAAAAAAAAAAGTCGCATAAGTCTGTAATTAACAGAGCCTGGATTGAATTAACAGAGCCTCTCAACTGTTTACAGATTTCACTATCATTCTACCATATCCACTCTTTCAGTGAATTTCAGTGGATTTTCAGTGATTTCATAGACCAAAAATTTGGGGGGTCAGTTTAGGATTGGCAGTGTTTTACTTAGGACATTAAAGCCACCCCTAATATCATGTCACCACTACTTCACAAAAGAAGAGATATTTTAACACCATGTGGGTAAGAAGGATTTAATCTCAGAATTGATGACAGTCTTTCGATTTAATAATATATGTAAAACTCTACATTGTTCATTTCACCAAGGAGAAATGAGCTCCTCTTAGTTTATTAGTAATCCACGAGCAGCAGTAGAGAACTATCTAGGACAGTCTCTTCATTTTTTGGGTGGAGAAACTGAGACCCAAATAAATTGACTTGTTTAAGGTCATATGTCTTGCAAGTAGCAGAGAAATGAGTTTTCCTTATTAGTTCAATAGTTAGAAAATTGGATGGCCCTCTCCCCATTTTTCTCTTTTTTTCTGCTGTTGCTGAGCGAAGGACACATACAAAAGAAGAGGCAGTGTATGTCAGGCAGAAAATAGATCCCATAGTGGAATTTTCAATTCTATGTCATAACGGTATTTTTATTTTCTATGAATTCTAACTTGTCTCTTTTTTTCCTTTGTCATCTGTTTCCTTCTTTTCCATGTTTCCCCCAGATTTACAGAGGTATAATTGAAAAATAGAAGTGCGTATATATAAGGTGAACAACATGATGATGTGATAAGCATATACAATGTGAAATGCTTATCACAATCAAGATAATTAACACATCCATCACCTCACATAGATACCATTTTTTGTGTGTGTCGTCCATTTTGTTTCTGAGTCCCGTTTAGAAATATATCAGTGCGTATTTAAGAGAAAGGAATAATGTTTACTGAGTACTTGCTCAATTACAGGGATTTTGCTAGGTGTTTTGCATAGTTATTTAATCTTTGCCTGTCTCACAGCAACATCTGAGATCTGGATGAATAACATTAAATGCCAAAATTTCCCACACCATTGATTTTCCTCCTGTTGGGTATTTTCTTTAGAAATACAGAACAGTATCTTCTTGCCATCTGGAATTAATTGTATTATTGCCTATATATCTACACATTCTCCCTCGGTCTTCATTTTACTACAGCTGTGGTCAAAGGAGGAGCTTTTTAGAATTACCAGACAGTGCTGGTGGAGGGAAATAAATCTAGATGAGCTGCATTTGTATGCAAATTAATGAAGGGGAAGGAGAATCAAGTCAATGAATGCCATTTCCTCTTTGGGAATCATTCCCCATGTAGCAAAATGGGTGAAAGTTCCCAAGTAACCAGTCTTCACTAATATGACCACCAGGGGGTGTTCAATACTGTCAGATTCTGGTGGTTCTATCTCCAGCAAAATCACAGCACAAGTTTTCTGTAATTATGTCTTTTCTCTCTGTCCATCCTTTCTGCTTTAGAATGGGACCATGAGGCAGATGTTTTATCTTTACTATTCCTTGACTTTTGGAGCTTTAATAATATTCCATAGAAAATAAGTAGTCCTTTTATGAGATTAGACTATATATTATACATGAAATTTTGAATTTACTAATTACCTTGACCATTGCTTCTTAGACTTACTAGTTACCTTAACCATTCTAGAACCCTCCATGAAATGATGGAGGATAAACATGCCACTGGAAGGCCCTCTGCCTCTCACCTTTAATTTTCTCATTTTATTTTATTTGGTTCCAGGCCATCCTTTACATCCACATTTATTTATTTTTGTTTTGTTTTGTTTTGTTTTTCAACGTTTTTTTTGTTGTTTTTTTTTGTTTTTTGTTTTTTTTTTAATTTTGGGACAGAGAGAGACAGAGCATGAACGGGGGAGGGGCAGAGAGAGAGGGAGACACAGAATTGGAAACAGGCTCCAGGCTCTGAGCCATCAGCCCAGAGCCCGACGCGGGGCTCGAACTCACGGACCGCGAGATCGTGACCTGGCTGAAGTCGGACGCTTAACCGACTGCGCCACCCAGGCGCCCTTACATCCACATTTAAATTCCTTTCTTATTAATAAAATATTTTCTGGCTGTTTGATTCTAGAGAACTTTCTTCTAAACTCCTACAGTTCCTAATTCTCCACATAGTCCTGTATTGTCTAACGCCATTAGCTTCTGCAGTGTTTCTTTCCTCTAGAAGGTTAAGAACTCCTGGAGGAAAAGCCCTGCAAAACCTTTTCCTCAGGCCACAACAGTGTAGGAGTGAAAATGTGGTCTCAATGACCATGGCAAGACATATTTTCAGGCTTCATCCTCACCCACTGTGTGAGAACTCCAGCTCCCCGAGATGTGTCCAAACTAGCTCTACAGGCCTGCCTGAGCTTACTTCACCTGTCGGTCGCTGTCAGGAGGAGCTGGTTCTGGCTCCTCTCTCCTTCAGGGATGCTGTTGCTGGGGACGCCAGAAGCATCTAGAGTCCCTGCTGTTGCATCTGCAGTGCTAACCAGCAAGCTGGCCTCCTCCGGTTCCTCCTGCAAAACAAGATTTTAGTGCTTATTGACCTTTATTTACACCTTTTTTTTTTTTTTTTTTTTTTTAATGAACAGCTATCTCTCTTTTTTTCTCCAGTTTACAAAATACAAGGCCCTTAACAAAAAGTTTTAAATACAGAAATGTTTTTCTCTGTGTTGAGGCATTAGTGTATGTGTACGTGTGTATATGTGTGTGTGTTTACCTAAGACTTTTTGTTTTTATGAAACAGGTATATTACTGTATACTTTAAATAATTTATTTCACAAAAGCCTGTGTCCATAGAGTAAAACAGTCTTTCTATGAAACATTCAAATAACAATGGCTTGGGCACCAACCAGACACAGGAGCAAAAAATTCACGCTTTTCCCTGGGTGTTTTTTTCCAAGTATCTTGAAACTTGCCAAGGTCTCTTATACTCTCACCTCAATTCCATTCCCTAGTTGCTTACCCGCAGCTGCCTTCTGAAACTGAATACAGCCCTGAGGGCCATGGGCTGCATCCCTAAGCCCCAGGAGAATTCTGCTATGAACTCTACTGCAGCCAGGCATTTCCTCAATGTGGAGGCACCACTGTCATGGTGTTCCTAATGGCCTACTGCTCCTGGTGAAAATATCTATGGAGCCACACTTTGAGGTTTGAAAGAGGATACTTCTCAGCATCATGCTCCATTGAGGTATCCACAGTAAAAATACATGCCTCAGGCTAAATAATTTTTGATTCACTTATTGATTCATTGACTCACATGTTTTTTTCTTTCATTCAAGAAAAATGTTCAATGAGCATGAACTCCATGTCAGGGACAGTGCTAAAGAGCTGAATAGACATTGCCCATCTGGTGTCCTCAGAGGGACCTGGGGGTGGTGGTGGTAAGAGGCTGTGTTGGAACAGGTTCCAGCATTAGATACACACTGGTCCTGAAACCCACTTTCCTTTCAATGACTTTGGCCTTAGATCTCAGTTTGGGTGATCCGTGGCCTAACCTTTCTTATGTGAGCTTCCTTGTGGACAACACCTTATCTTGTTGACATCTGGCTTGGGTTTGGATATCTCCATATTCTCCCACCCTAGCTCATCAGACATGTTTTTATATCTTTGACTCTCTCAAGAGTATGGCTTTGGGATTCATTTCATTTTTTACCAGGACGCCCTTTTACTTCATACACATTTGTAAAAGCAAATGGTTCTACTCTACCAAAAAGACCTGGGCTCTAAATTCAGTTGCTGTGTTGAGAGAGACATAATTCTTTTAATCTACAGAATCTGAGCCCTGATTCAGATGTAATATCTTGTAATAACTGTGTATATAATTTTGAATTCTTTTTCTCCTCCTCTTCTTCCTCCTAACTTAACTTTATATATAATAAATGCTAGCAGATATTATTAAAGATTCTTGAAAACAAATTTTAAAACCTGCATAATCACCCTTTGTGTGAATGTCCCATAAATGATTTCACCATATGATTGGGGAGTTTGTGTTTTGTTTGTAAATTTTTGCTGTTATATAAAAAATCTTGTGATGAGAAACTTCAGATATAAATCTCAGTCCACACGTATTTCTTTAGGAATAACTTCTAAGAGTAGAGTTACTTATTAAACAGGAAACTTTTTTCCATAATTTTTCACCAATTTTTCTTTCTGCCAGCAATGTATGAGAACTATCCCACTGCATCTTTATTAACTTTTAGCATGTATTATTTTGGCATTTTGATAGAGGCATTGTTTTAATTTATATTTTTTGGTTACCACTAAGAATGTACATTTTAATATGTTTGTTGGCTTTTGTATTTCTATTAGTTTTTAATGCTTTTCGTGATGATTTATGAGCTTGCTTTATATGGTAAAAATACAATGACCCTTTGTCATAATTGTGCCAAGACTTCTTTCTCCATTATGTTGTCTTTTCATTTTGGTTATAGCATTTTTGATATGTATAAACTTAAAATTTTTATATGTCCAAATTTTTTCATATTTTTTGTGATTTCCTGACAAGTATAATTTACATCCAAATATCAGCAAAATATTCACATATTTTTCTATTTAATTGTTTTATTTTAAAGCCATTTTAAAAACATGAAGTTTACTAGATTTTATAGAATAACCTCTTCTTTCTCAAAGATTGATCTAGTGTACCTTACATTCTTTGTTGAATAATTAATTTTCCCTCTTGTTATGATGTTGACTTTATGATATGTTCTTTTATGAACGATGGTTATTCTGAGTTTGTCAATTTTGTTTTAGTAATCTGCCTGTCTCCCAGTACAACATTGACTTAATTACTGTGATTTTGTTTTTAAGTTTATTTATTTATTTAGAGAGAGATAGAAACAGCATGAGTGGGGAGAGGCAGAGAGAGAGAGAGAGAGAGAGAGAGAGAGAGAGAGAATCCTAAGCAGACTTCACACTGCCAGCCCAGAGCCTGATGTGGGGCTCAAACTCACCAAACCATGAGATCATGACTGAGCCGAAACCAAGAGTCGGACGCTTAACTGACTGAGCCACCCAGGTGCTCCAGTATGATTTTACAATAAATGCTAATATTTGGTAAAGCAAGACTCCTTTATTATTGCATTAAGAAGTTACTCTGCACTCTTGTCTATTTATAGTTCTAGGCTAAATTTAGAATAATTTTATCCAGTTGGGATTTCTCATTATTCCATTCAAAAAGTGTTTATGGAGTCCTTCACCGTGCCAGGCATTCCTTATTCTAGGTGCTGGGGAATGGAATGCACTTGTGTCCAAGATAGACAATCACTGCTGTCGTGGGGTTCATGATCTCTCAGAGGAGACAGACGGTAGACAAATAAGGAATGGCTGTACTGCGCAGTATCAGGTGGCGTTGGTGTGACAAACAAAAAAGCAGGGCAATGGCAGAGAATGATGGAGATGGTGTCAGAGAATGTTGTTCAAGAATATTTCTCTGAGGAGGCCATGAGAGAGTGAGTGGAAAAGAGTAGTCACAGGCAGAGGGATCATGGGTTCCTGGTGACAGAGGAGCGGGAGGAAGGCTTGTGTGATCCGAAGGAATGAGGGGTTATAGGGATGAGGTCAGGAATGGAGTCAAGGACCAGATCATATGCAGCCCTGTAGGGCCTGAAGAATACTTTGGATTTTAGCCAACTGTTTTGATTAAGATTATGAAACATTTATAACTTACTTTGGGAAAGAGTTGATATATTTTCAGAATTCCATTTTCCCTTGAAGAAAGTAGTCTCTTACCATGTTTTTGTTTCCTTTTATCCCTCCACCTCCTTCTACTTTACACTTTATAGTAAAAATATGTCATTTTGTTTATGTAGGTTCCTCACATGTTTTTAGGTCATTTCTAGATATTTTATATATGCTTCATGGTACTGTCAGTGGAATATATATTCTATTGTATTTTCTAACATACTTTCTGGTATACAAGAAAATGTGGATATACATTGTATATCTTACACTTGAATACTAAATTTGAAATTTTTGATTAATTCTTTACCAGTTTTGTATAAACAGTTTTAATTTCATCTTCCATCATAATGACAGTATGTCCTCTCCATTTACATAGCTCTACCAGATCAAGAGTGATATTGGATAGATATCTTTGCCTATTTATTATTTATGTAAATGACTCTAGATTTATTTTTAATATAAGGTTATTATTTTAGAATATTTATTTGCACATTAAATAATTTCCTTCTAGTTCTAGCTCTTAAAAGTTACTTTTTTCCCTGTAAGAATGATTTACTGACTTTCAGATTCCTAGTTAGCATCTTTTGATGATTGTATGGCTTTTGTTCTTTGACTTGTAGATTTAAGGAAAGATTTCTAGAAAAAAAAAAAGATTTGTAGATTTCCTAATATTAAACAATTACTGGACTCTTTAAATCAATGCTGTTCAGGGGCGCCTGGGTGGCTCATTCGGCTAAGCATCTGACTTCGGCTCAGGTCATGATTCTACAGTCCATGAATTCAAGCCCCGTGTCGAGCTCTGTGCTGACAGCTCGGAACCCGGAGCCTGCTTCAGATTCTGTGTCCCTCTCTCTGACCCTCCCCTGTTCATGCTCTGTCTTTCTTTGTCTCAAAAATAAATAAACGTTAAAAAAAATTTAAATCAATGCCGTTCAATTATGGTAGATGTTTGCTCTAGTCTACTGATCAATTTACTTTGTTCTTATTTTATTTGGTCCTTGTCAAATTCACATAAGTAAGACCAATTTATAACTTTTGTATTTTGGACTCACTTTGGTCACCTTTGCTATTTTGGTTATGAAATTAACTGGATCACCTACCAGTAAAAATGTCTGGTCCTAAAATCTTTTACTGGATATAATTAGATGATAACCTTCAATTTCTTCAAAGCTTATCGACTTCTCTTGTTTGATATTTTTCAAGTCAGTTTTGATTCCATATATTTTCCCTCTCAACCTTTTATTTCATTGAGATTTGGGGATTTGTCAGCACAGACTTAGTAATTACTTAATTTCAGGAAAATCTCTTTTCATCGTAAGGCCCTTCTTGTCCCTGTAATTTAGACTTGAGACCATAGAGGCAGGACTGGGGTGATCTGAGAGACTGACATTGGGCTCCACTCATTTGTCCTTATCTCATTATCTATGAACAAATATATTCAGATGGAAGCAAAGGGAGGCAGAAGGAGATGTTTAATTATTGAACATGGATTTCAAAAAGATGCATATTCTGAATACTTTAACAACACAAGGGCTGGTACATGATGTAGACTAGTGTAGATTGATATAGAGGGTTTTGTTGGCAGACACCTAGGTTTAAAACCAGACTCCATCACTGACTAACTGACCTTGGGAAAATTGCTGTGCTTCCCTGTGCTCTAGGTTTTTCATTTGTGAAATGATTAATTCATTTGCTGATTCAACAAATATTTATTATATTTATTGAGAGCCTCCTATGTGTTAGGCACTGCTTTCAGATCTGCAAATGCCTCAGTAAAAAAAGTACTTGATCTTTGAATGTATCCTACTTGGAGTTCTTGAGCCTCTTAGATATACAGATTAACTTTCCCCACCTTCATTGAGATATAACTGGCACATAACATTGTGTAACTCTAAGGTGTATAATGTGCTGATTTGATGTACTTACATATTGCAATATGATTATCATCACAGTGTTAGCTGACACCCCATCATTTCACATAATTGCCATTTCTTTTTTGTGGTGAGAATATTTAAGATTTACTGTTTTAGCAACTTTCAAGTGTACATCATAGGATTGTTATTGATTAATCACAGTGCTGTACATTAGATCCCCAGAATGTATTCATTTTCTAACTAGAAGTTTGTACCCTTTGATGAGCACCTCCCCATTTTCCCTGTCTCCCAGCCCCTGTTAACTACCATTTTGCTCTCTGTCTCTATAAGCTCAGCTTTATAGATTCCACTATATCATATAGTATTTTTCTTTCTGTGTCTGACTTATTTCATTTAGCTAATGTCCTCAGGGACCATCCGTGTTGTTATAAATGGAAGGATTTCCTTCTTTCTCATGGCTGACTAATATTTTATTATGTAGAAATATAATATTTATATGTACATATTTATGTTTATGTAAATATATATATTTAATACATCTACTTTATCCATTCATCGATCAGTGTTCATTTAGGTTGTTTCTATATCTTGGCTATTGTAAATAATGCTGATATGAACATGGAAGTGCCCATACAACTTCAAGATTTTATTTTCATATCCTTTGGATGTGTACCCAGAAGTGGGATTGCTGGATCATATGGTAGTTCTATTTTTAATTTTTGAGGAATCTCCACACTGTTTTCCATAGTGATTGTGCCAATTTACATTCCCACCAGCAGTACACAAGGATTTTCTTTTCTTCATGTCCTCACCAACAGTTGTTACCTCTAATTTTCTCAAGGATAGCTATTCATTCTAACAGGAATGAGGTGATCTCTTACTGTGGTTTTTAATTTTTTTAAATATTTATTTATTTTTTATTTTGGGAGAGAGAGAGAAAGAGTCCACAGATCATGGCTTGAGCCAAAATCAAGAGTTGGACACTCAACCAACTGAGCCACCTGGGCACCCCTCAACCTTTTTTTTTTTAAATCAAATGTGAAGGTATTGGTCACTATTTCTTCACATTTTTTTTCTGCCCCTTCCTCTCTGTTCTTTCCTCTGTGACTCCTATTGTACATACTTTGGTAGCTTGTAGTTTCCCACAGCTGCCAGAAGCTCTGTTCATTTTCTTCATTCATTTTCCTTTCTGTATAATCTCAGTTGACCTGTTTCCACGTTTTCTGATTCTTCTACCAGTTCTGCCATGAAAAAGTAGTTGGGAGTAACTTTGGGGTGGGCACTTCTTTATAACACATATGGAAGTCCTCTTAAATGACATTTGAGTTGAGACTAGGTCATCATAAAATCTGGTTTCCAAAGGTGATGGGTTATTCTCCAACTGAATTGCAGACTCTGCCTCCATGGGTTGGAGAAGGGGGGTTGATCCTTCCCTGGGCATCTCCACACACCAGTGCACTTGATGGGAATTTCTGTGTTCCTACTTTAGCTCTCCAGATATGCTATACAGACAAGTGTTCTAGTTCTAAGAACTTTATTTTTTAATAACTCGTTGTCAATTGTTCTAAAATCCCTTCCATTTGCAAAGGAACTTTTATGATTTAGGCAGACATGAATTTTTCATAGAGAAGTAGGAGGACTTAATTATAGTTTCAACACACATTGGCATGCTTGGAAGTATCCAAAAGGAAGTCAAAGAATTTTGAGAATTTAAGCCAAGATACTTATTTCATCTTAATAATGTTGTGGCTTGATGTTATTTTGCCAGTAAATATTCCCATAAGTATCAGATAATTGGGCCTTACTCTATGGCCTGAAGGCCAATATTCTTGGTGCAACCAACTGAAAGACTGAATTCCAAAAATGGAATTTCTCCATGGAAAATATGTTGTTTCCAGCCCTTGGTATTTACACCTAAGGCGTGTTGGCAGCTGTTCTTTGGCCAGCGGAAACAGGCATGGTGGTACATAAAGGCAGTTTCTATGGAAACCTGAACCCAAATGATACTGGGGCTGTGAAGATCAAAGGCAACACCCTGAATTGTTTGGAGAGCCCAATGAAGGTTTCAGAACTTTATCGTTCTCCACAGAAAACACTACAGCCAAGAATTCGAAATGCTTTCTTCTCCAGGTGCATTAGAACTATGTGCATAAAATAGAAATTTGTAGTTTGCTCATGAATTTATCTGTTCTAATTATTTTACCAGCTATTTTACAACATCCTTCTCTGCCATAAAGAAAATTGTCATCTTCCATTAATGCTGTGATGAATACGGAAGTGTCGATACCACTTCAAGATCCTATTTTCATTTCCTTTGGATGTATACCCAGAAGTGGGATTGCTGGATCATATGGTAGTTCTATTTTTAATTTTCTGAGGAACCTCCACACTGTTTTCCATAGTGATTGTACCAATTTACATTCCCACCAGCAGTACACAGGGGTTTTCTTTTTTTCACATCCTCACCAACAGTTGTTACCTCTTATTTTCTCGAGCATAGCCATTCTAACAGGAATGAGGTCATTCTTTACTGTGGTTTTTAAAATTTTTTATTTTAATAAATAAATAAAGCAATAAGACACACAAAATATGCTGAGCCTATAAATTTGGTGGCAGAGATTGATTTACTTTCATAAACCATGGATAATCTATTCAGTGTGTTATTTTTCCCCACACACTCTTCTTCCTATATACAAACACCCATGTTGCCAGATGCACACACAGCTAAACCACAGTTCTACCTGTAAAGAACATTTTGACCTACAGTAGTATTTTCTCACATTAAGTGTCATCCTTACACTGATTCTTTGTTTAGTATTTCGATACAAATCCCATTATTACAACCTTAGCAGAAATTAAAGTGGAAGAAAATATATTCCCATGAACGTGTCTTCCCAAGAGTGCATTTTGTTTTTATTTTGTGGAGCTTGATTTGGACTCATTTCTTCTGACAAGCTCCCATTTTATTAAAGTCCTGGTGAATGACAAAGGAGCATTTTCTTCCTGACTAGTGCAGATTGTCAAGATAAAATCTCTGAACATACTACATTTGTCTGTGGGGATTTGCATCCTTGGTTTCAAGGGCCATTTTAGAGTCAAGTGGATATGTTAAGGTTAGTTGAAGTAATCAAAAGCATCATATTCACCATGAAGTAATGAAATGAAGACTGGATATGTTTATGCCAAGATTTATGATTAATTTGTGCACATGAAATATGCAGGGAGGGAATGGTATAATTTGAAGAAGCTCTCTATGAAATACTTATTGAACCTTACAAGGCCTTTACTTCTCATAGACATCCAGAACCAAGTAATCAAGCTACGTAGACCGTATTTATTAGAGTCTAGTTTTCTTAACATGCCTGAAGGGAGAAGTTGCTTTTTCCCACCTTACAGGAGCACTCCATCTCTGCTTCTCCTCTCTGAGACACAGAGTACCAGCCACATTTCCAGGCTGGTTCTACATACTTTCTTTACTTTTCACTCCTGCTTTCATCCCTCACCTATGAGGGGCACACTTGCCAGAATCTCTCTACCTCTACTTTTGAATCTCATCATACCTCTACTTTTTCCTTTCCCCACCACAAACAAAGGACTTTTGACTCAGAATTGTGATAAACCTCAATCTGGAATTTTCACTTTTCTTCTTGCAAGGCATTATGTTTTAATAGTGAGCTATAATATAACTAAGGTTTAAATCAAACTGGCAAATTGGCTGTTTGCCATTTAATACACAGAATCATAGGATGAAAAGATACAGAAGGGAACTTGGAGAGTATTTATCAGTATTTTGCCATCATTTTTCACTAGAGGACTTCTGCAGAGGAAAAAGAGCCAATTCAGCAGATGTCTGGAGGCACAGAGAAAGTTCCAGTCAGAATGAATATAATATATAATGGCTTTGAAGTTCACTATTTTAGCTTTAAAATTTTCTGCAACTTTGAAGTTGATACTAAATTATACCTTTACTTGTTTTCTAATAAAAGTAGTTCTAGAATTACTTACCATTAAGTATAGTGGTCCCTATTTTTCCTTCACCTTTGTGTAGCATCTAGCACATATCTTTATACCTTGAGGAGATTGTAAACCCCAATGCAAAAAATACAGACTGGACAATTATATCCTATGGTAGGTGAGTAAACTGAGACTTAGAAATGTAGAAATTTGCTTAAGATCACCATGGTAGAATCAACATGAGAATTCAAGTCTAATGGCTTTCAGCCCAGTGAGCTTCTCATCAAACTCAGACATATGTTTCAACCTGATATCTTTTCCACATGTGTTCCTGGAAACTAAGGTTTCTGTAAGTCAGGAACATCTTTGGAACCTGACTGACCTCACTTAACCTGGTTTTCATGCTGTATAAGGATACCTGAAAAACCACTGTAAGAGTAATTGTGTGTCTATATATGCCTCTTTCAGTAGCTTTGCTCACAAGGGGAGACGTGAGGGTGTGTGTGTGTGTGACAGCAGGTGAAGTAGGGAAATGGTGAGTGGTGGTGGTGGTGGGTAGCATTCAAAAGATCATTTTTTTCCCCATTTTCTGAAACCACTACTTTTTCCTGAAACCCATTAGTCTGGTTTTGGCTTTAAGCTGCTGAAGGAAAGCATTATTCAGGGAGTACTGCAGGGGCTGATTCTTGTGGAACTCATGAGAGTTAGATTTGGCTGATGTCAAAATTTTCATCAGATTTTGAATTTTCAGAGACATTTTGTACTCTGCTTATGAGATTGATATAAATAGTTTTGTTCTCTGTCTCCCAGATAAAAGCATGGATATAAAGAAGAATTTCATTTGTTCCACATGGAAGATACAAAATATATTTGAGTGATTGGATGGATGGATCTTTGTGGATAATCATTAATCAAATTTACATAACCATTTTCATGAATAAGGGAAAATTTGCTATTCTAAGTTGACAAAAAAAGGTAATACTATGTCCCTTAAAAAATATAATACAAGTGAAATGTACACACTCTAACCAACCAGGTAGAAATAAGGAAAAATCCTTATTGCTTCCTTTCATAGGCGAGATTAGAGAATTCTGACTTTTCTCTTTGGTCAGGTGAACTATTCATAGGTATTATGTGAATGCCTTTATCAAATAATCCTGGACTTCTCAGGATACCTATTTCAGTGCCAGCCACTCAGATAGAAGTTGGGAATATAAAAATAGCTAAGGTCAGTTGTGCCTCAAGTTTCTTACAGTCCACTGGAAAGACAAGTACATGAATAACTAACCATAGTATAACACAACAAAGTTTGATGCTGGTGGTACAAATGAGAAAAGAGATTCTGTTAATTGTTACTGCAGGGGGCTACAGAGGGTTTCACTGAGAAGATAAGTTGTAATGCAAGGATGTATTAACTTGGAAGTGGAAAAGTGGAAGGAGAAAAGCGATGGCAAGGCGATGGTTGGAAATGGGCGAGTGCCATGATCTGTTGAGGAAATGGCAAAGAAAAAAGGTAAGCGCAGGTTCGACCAAGAAGGGCACTATGGCATGCCAGCATGAACCTGGGAGCCAGCCAAGGTTTTAAACCGAGAAATCATTGGTTGGGTTTGGGCTCTTTAAAAAGATATCTCTGACAAGAGCTTGTAGAATCGATTGGGTGGTGGGTGGTGTGAGAAGATTAGAGAGAGGGGGACCAGTGTTATCTAATTCTGTAACCCTTTTTTTTTTCATACAAACTCAAAAGTTGCTAAAAATAAAGGAAGGTTTTAGAAAAGCTGATTTTATCTCTGATAGGTGAGGTGACAATAAATAGAGATAAAATGAAGTTGCATGCAATGAGAAGGGGAAGTGCAGGTGCAGGAATTGTGTGAGGAAAGACTAAAAATCTCTAAAACAAGACATTCAGAAAGAGTGATTTGTCCAAGGTTGTAGGGATGTTGGAAGCCATCACAAAATGATCCTTTAGCCAACTAGAGAAGAGTGAGAGAGCAGTAAGAAGACATATCCGTATTGTGTATTTGTTCCATGTGATGTAATGTTAAATGAAAAAAGATATAAATTTTTTTTAAGTAAACATACTCTCTGCCCTCACATAATCACAGCCTCCCACAGTACCAGCATCCCACATTAGAGTGGTACATTTCTTGCAGTTGACGAACCTACGCTGCCACGTTATTGTCCCTCAAAGCTTTGTAGTCCACATTAGGGTTCCCTCTTGGTGTTGCACATTCTGTGGATTTTGACAAATGTACAATGACATGTATCTACTATTATAGTTTATTACAGAATAGTTTCACTGCCCTAAAAATCTTTTGTGCTTTTTAACACTTTTATATAATAATCATAACATTTTAAAGACATATATGATATATATGTACGAAAGATTGGAACTAAATTGAGCAGCATGTTTTAAGAGTGCTGATTCAGATTTCCTGCTCACTTATAGGTTCATATTTCTTGCTTGGCCACAGGACATACTAATGTCCTTTCCTACAATCTGGCCATTTACTAGATCACTCTAGGCCCATTGGGCATGTTTTATCATTAGGCCTAAATAACAGTGAAACAGAATTACTTGTGACAGGAGACAGTTCCAGTTTTTCATGAATGTTTACAATTCATTAAAATATGTGAGGGAAGAGGCTTCATTTAATCCAAGAGCAGTGAAATAAACATGTTAAGAACATCTAAATAATTTCAACATATTCATTTTTGTGTTGGGGGAGGGCAGTCATTTAGAGTCCCAGACTCTGATATCTCCCATACTCTCAGACCCTATAGCAGCAGTGTGAAGGTGTTAAAATCCAGCACACCTGTTCTCTGCAAAGCAGTTATGGTAGTGATAGGGTGGTATTGGGGCATGGGTTGTATATGTGAAGAATCAGGTTCTGTGACTTTAAAAAAGTATAATTACCTACCTACATGGCAGGGAAAAAAATTGAAACATTTAAAGAGAAAAAATGGTGCAGGGAAAAAACACTCTAGGAAAAAACACCTAATAATCTAAATAAACTAGATGACTCTTGTCATCTTTTGTTCCTTTTAATTCTGGGAGTATCCTGGTTGGAGCAAACGAATAAAAATAAGAAAATATTGTTCAGTTATGAATGGGACAAAAAGGGATTTCCATAGTATTCTTTAAATGGCAACGATAACTTTTTCTGAAGATAGATGGATACTTGTAAGGTTACAGCTGGGATAGATCATGTTCAGGGATAGTTTTGGAAAATAAAAGGCGATATTTTAAATAAATACAAAATTGGAAGATTAAAAAAGGAAATGATTGGTTGTGTTTTGCTGCAAGAAAGAATAATTCTGAGAATGCTTTTTCTTTTGTCTATCTACCGTCTACTTCCTATGAATTAAATATATGAATGTCTTCTTCAGAACATTGGAATGCTACCTTTTAGAATAATTTCCATTTTTTGGTAAAGGTGTTTAAATAAAGACATGTTTGGGCTATGCTTGAGAAGGCAGGAAAGATTTGGCTGTATTGAAATTTATATCCAGCTATAAATCCAGTATCTTTACCTCTTGATTTTTAAAGGCAGTGGTGAAAGGGAGCACAGCATGTGGTGAATTATGAATGAAGACATGAAAGGATTTCTTGGTCTGATGTGAAGCCAGTTCCTCCCCCACCCCACTCTGTTTCTGGAGTTGTCTTGAGTCCATTATAAATATGACTCTAGTGAACCATACAAATATCTCCTTTGGAGTGTTATGCACAGTATTAATATGTAGTCTATCCCTGAGATGCTTTTGTGCAAATAAGAAGTGCTACTTAATAAAAATCAGTGTGTGCAAGGGTACAAACTAAGTATCAAACCTTCAAAGCGTCTTCATGACAGAGATTACCAATTCTGACTCTAATTCATTATTTATATAGCAAAAGCATGTGGGAGTATGTGTGAGCAGCAGTAGAGGAGTGGGGAGAATCTTCCTGTTCACATCAAAGGTGTTAGGATACCAGGGACTGTTATCAGGATTCCTTTTTGAAAAGGAGTCTCCAAGACTTTGGGGGAAAGCTAGCTAACTAACTCTCCAACTAACTAACAGCAGTGAAGGGATTCGCTGAACTGGACACTTGTGCTGTGAGTACCCTTCTAAATATATGTTATACTTAACAAAGTTTACATTAAAAAATAGTGGTGAGTGCTTTGGGATTAACAGGCACCTAGGCCACTTGGATTAAGGCACTCAATGGAGAAAGACAATTATTGACTGCTAGTGTCTGGTGAAAATAGGTAGGCAACTCAGGTGGAGATAGCTGACAACTGGTCCTAAAGCTTGGGATCTGGTTTGCTACTGGGGAGAAATGGTTTTGAGAACATCACTTATAAATATTCTCCAACACTGCTCTGTGTGAATGTGTCCCACATAACACCAGGAAGGGGACTGTAAACATTGAAATAGCAATTGGCTCTTTAGTTGCCAAACAAATACTTTTACGTGTGGGGATGGATCCTTGTGTGCTGGAAAGAGAAATTTATCAAAGGTGAGATACCAGAGTTAGTTAAAAAGTGGGCCAGCAATAGTAGAAGCATGGCTGCCAGGAGACAAGAATGGAAGTGACAGCAGCAAACACAGAGGATATAATCCAAGGAGAAAATGATCCCTGCAAGCCTCAGTGAGACAGAGAAGCTTTCAGGATTTGAAAGAATAATTCAGAGCTCAATATTCAAATGCCACTAGGATTCTTACCTACACACTTGATTGTCCCTGTAACTTCCTCCTCCTCAGAATAGCCCTTCTCCTACAAGTGACCTGGGAAAACAGGGATTATATTCCAGTTGCCATTTTGATTGTCATCAAATCTTGGTTGTTTCCTGATTGGAATGATTTCAGAAAATAAAGTTTATATTTTAAATTAAAATAGCCAGAGTGGGTGGGGTGGACTTTATTTAAAATATGTACATGTTTAATAAATATATTTATAATTTAATGTATTTATTTAGGGTATTGTGCTAAGCGTTGAGTGGAGTACCAAGAAGTTAAGACCCAGTCTTCTCTCGCAAGAAATCTATTGAAAGAACTGATAAGTAGTCATCTGTTTCCAGATTTTCACATCTAGGCTTGGGTGGTGGTTCGTGTGGTAAATTATTCAAGATAGGCTAACTGGTGTAAAAACAAAACAAAACAATTCCCAGATTGAGCTACTTACATGTCATATTTTATTGCAGGTCAGTGGAGGTGAAAGGATTATTTACACTCTTTCTATTCCATGCCTCTTACATCACAAAGGGCCTTGGAGTCTTCTATGGGATCCTCTGCATCTGAGCTTCTGTTAGGGTCAGGCCTGGAAGATTTTTATACAGTCTAAGCCTGAATGTCACTTCACTTCATTCTAATGGCCTCACGACCCACTGATTACAAGGAGGTCTGAGAAATGCTGTCTTTCTGCATTCCCAGAGGGAAACAAAGTGGGGTCTAGATGGCGTACAACATAGTCTTGTGCCATCAGAAGGGATCTCTCAGGCTTATTTTTTCCAATTTCTGAGAGTTTGAATTGGATTTGTTCTTCAGCCATTAAATTTCCCACCTTTTAATAGGAAATAGAAGCAGGGAAGACAACACTTATCAAATACCTACTGTACATATACATGAAATCAATTAGCCCTTAACCAATCTACTGAGATGGGTATGGTTCTGGGTTACATATGTAGTTGCCGAGGCTGGGAGAGGGTAGGCAGCTTGTTCAAGGACACTAGCTAGAGATCAGTGGAAGAAGTGTTTAGATCTGCATGTCTGTTTCCAAGGCATTTATTCTTCTATTATCTCTGAAGTAGGAAGTTTAGCTAAGGAACAAATACTTGTTGAATTAATTAAAAAGATAAAAGAATTAAGTTATGAAAAAAGGCAAAAGTAAGCAATGAAGAAAAAATTGTAAGAAACATTTATGGGGTTTAATAATTTTTTTTTTAAAGTAAATGTATGCTTAGAATTATAAGAAAAAGGTGCTCAGCACTTAGCTGTTGTCCCACCCTTCAACTAAACCTAGGGAGCAGTGACTGGTTCGTTCTTTCTTTCTTTCTTTCTTTCTTTCTTTCTTTCTTTTCTTTTTTTTTTTACCATTCATTCAGCAACTATTTAATGGAAGCTTAGCATGTATGCATCATGAGGATCAGGGATGAAGAAGACAAACATAATTCTTTCACACAACAAGCATACACACACATAAGCCTTAAACACCACTCTCATGTAGCTTTTGTTGGGTTTGGGCAGCCCTTTCTCTTTGGGTGCTGCACTTGAAATCTGCTGATCAATATCTTTGTTCTTTCAAAGCAGAGGGGAGACGTCCTTCTTAGAAAGTAGTGTTTTGAGAATTCTCTCTGTGGGGAAGCACAGTAATAAGAGACTTGTTCTGTATTCCTGAATGCTTCCAAACAGCAGTCTGCTTTTCTAGAAATTGTTGGATGGCTTCTCCCAGGCACAGGGGGGAGCTCAGCATTTAAGAATCCTACCCCAATGCGTCTTTGGAATGGAGTGGTTAAATTGGTTCTTGAAGGTTGAAATGTATCTTTTCAGCTCTGCAAAATCAGCTTCCTTCATGCTTGTATTCTTCCTTTTCAACCAAATGCTGTGATTTTGTACTTGCCAAATTGATCTGTGGCAGAAAGGAGACTCCCAGAAGCTGGAGATAAAGAGGAGGAAATGTCAGGTGCTAGCCAGATTTTTTTCATTAACTCTGCAGCCGGGGAGTCCCTGAGTAAAAACCATACAAGTTAAACTCAGCATTATAGAAGAATTGTCATTATTTGTTTTAAAGCTAAGATTCTAATTATAATTTTAATACATATTGACATACTAAAATAATCTATAGTACAATTAATTTTTAAATCAGGTTATATTTAATGTGTTCAGTAGCTGATGTAGATGATCCTTCTAGATACAGACTCTCTTCCTGAAGTTTTCTAAAATGTCAGTTTGGAAAAGCACTTCCTTGTATTGAAATATTAATCAGATATATTTAAATTCTCTGTCACTTTCAAAAGTTATTAAATCCCAGCAGTGTTTCTTGAATTTTTCCCAGAAATACTCACTTTGTCTTGTATCGTTAAATTATTGTTTCTTTTTCAATCACTCAACAAATAATCATTCAGCATCTCCTGTGTAGCAGTTCCTGTACTAGGTGCTTTGGAACCATCTATGAGCCAACTGGTAAAAGTCCTTGCCCTTTACCTGAGTTCTAGCAGAAGGAGATAGACAATAAACAATAAGTGTATTAGGTAGATGATATCGTTCACTTATTTGGGCATAAGCCTCCTTCATTGAAAAGGTGACTTTAGAACTAAGACTTGAAGGAGATGAGGAAGTATCCCAGAGGAAACCTCGAGGGAGAGACTTCCAGACAGCAAGAGCACTCATTGCAAAGGCCCTGAGGCAGGAGTATGCTTGGCATACTCGAGGAACAGTGAGGAGTTGAGTGCCCAGAGCAGAGAGAGCCAGGGGAGAGGAGTTCAGAGTGGTACTGTGGGCCAGATGGAGGGTGGGGTGGGTGTAGGCTATTGTAAAGACCTGGGCTTTTGTGCTGAAGGGGATGAGGACTCATTGCAAGTTTTTGACCATAGTAGAAACATGATCTTTCCCTATTTTCCTCTGTTCTTATACTTATTTGCTTTTGGGCATTTTTGTAATATTTATAATACCATTATTAGTAGGCTCTAGTCATGAGTATATTCAAATTTTTATCTGGTATGTTGCCTACAAAATGCATAATCAGATACTGCAACAGCTTAGTTATATAAGCAAACAGTACTCTATTTGTGGATTCTAAGTGGCCAGGGGATTTCTGTATTCTGATTGGTTGACTTTGTGACTCAGTCAGTCCAAATATCATCCCTGATGCAACTTTTTAGAGTGCAGATTTTAGTAACCAATCTTACAGTGAAGCAATGTTTGCATATTTTATAACTTATTAGATTCTATTTTTTTCTAGATGGATCTCTGAACATTTACATTTTAATAAACTTCCCCCAGAAGAATACATTCTTCCTGCACACAGTGGCTCCCTTACATGTTTGAAAATATGAGCAAGCTTATATTTTGTATTTTATGCCCACTTCCCTTCTGTGAATGAAGTATGTGACTTCACATTCTGTATTTTCCAGTTAGGTTCAGAGGGTGTTTTTGGATCTTGCCTCAGGCCCACAGACCAGAGAGGCTGTGGCCTGGTTCACCTCATGGTAATGGCTAGTAGTAGTGTGTGTGGATGGATGTACTCCTGACCTGGAGCCCTGGGCCCATCTAAGGAGAGAAGTGTTATTTAATATAATTTTGTTTGCATATAAAGAGCCAAATGATTAGAGTATTGAATTAGTTGTTAGATATTTCTACTAATGGAAGCAATTTTATTTTGGCAGCTGGTGAGGTAAAGGGGTATAGGGGAGGAAAAAGTTTTTCCCTATCTTCTTAGGATAACTGGCTGAGTCTGAAAAGTAAACTGATACAGACAGATTAATAGGAAAAATGCATACACATTTATTAACTTTTTACATGTATATGGAAGCCTTCACAAGAGGCTGAGGCCTGGAAGAAACCATGAAAGCAGGAGGCTTTTATACCTTTGAGACAAAGAAGCAATAAATTGGTGAAGGATTGGGGCACCTGGGTGGCTCAGTCAGTTGAGCGTCAACTTCGGCTCAGGTCATGATCTCACGGCTCATGCGTTTGAGCCTTGCACTGCTGGGCTTTGTGATGACAGCTCAGAGCCTGGAGCCTGCTTCGGATTCTGTGTCTCCCTCTCTCTCTGCCCTCCCCCTCTCACATTCTATCTCAAAAATGAATAAACATTAAAAAAATTTTTTTTTAATTGGTGAAGGATTGACAAGGCAAAGGAGTTTGGGCTTAGGGTAGTGGTACTGGGGCTAGTAGGTCTTATCTTCCTTAAGTAGGGTTAATTTAATAAGATTTGTTTGCAGATTCCTCTGGTGCTATCTATGAGCTAATGAGAGTTTGTCTTTAGTAAAATAATTTATTTTCTGCCTTTAGGTAGAAAACAGGGAGTTTTTTCCCTAGGTTTACTGCTTAATTGCCTTTTATTCAAATTGCCTTTAATTAAAGCAGCATATTTTAAGGTGGCATATTCTGGTTACCTTTGGTAGGTTGCTGACAATCTCTGTAAAAACCTAAGAAAAAGGGTAAGAGAAGCCTCAGTCTACCCATCTGCAGGCTTTAGGCCAGAGGCAGGGAAGGAATCCTTGTATCTTCCATATGGTTCAAGCCCCTCACCAGGAGTAGGGGCTCCATCAAGGCTCAAAGGTAGTGAGATGATTCAAACTCCTTAGCCTTGTCCTCTATGCAGAGAGAAAGTAAGGGTTCTGAGAAAGCGTGTGGGAGGGACACTTAACCCAGATTTACAAAGCAAGGGGCAGATAAGGCTTTCCAGATGAAGTGAAATTGGAATTGAGGCCCAGCAGGGTAAATAGAAGTTAGCAAATCATGAGAAGACAGAAGAGGAGGAGAGGGAAGAGGAGGAGGAGGAGAGGACGATCTCGAACAACACGAAGAGAGCTTAAAGAGTGGGGTTGGGAGTTGAGTAGTGGGTCAGGGAAGAATGAAGACTCATTAGAGGAACTACAAGGATTTTGGCATGGTTGAATCATTTGGCATTTGGGAAGAAGAGAAGAAGCTAGAGAGTTAGGCAGAAGCCATAGAGGTAGGGTCTTAAATGCCATGGTGAGTTTCTAGTTTATTATAAAAATATCAGGGAACCTTGCTGGGGTTTTAAGCAGTGGAATGATATGTTTATGTTTGCATTTGAGAAAGGCCATCCTGATAATAGAATAGATTAGAAAGAAACAAGAGTGTGGGGGGAGGGAGGGGATGGGGAGAGAAGGGACCATTGTCATTAATTCAAGTGAAAGAAGAGGCTGATGGCTAGAGCTACTCGGATGGCAATGGTTATGAAGAAAAACAGATGTGTCTGAGAAAGAGTTATGTAGTAGCTTTCATTGACAGGACTTGTGACAGACTGGTGTTGGAAGCTAATGATACCATTTAACATAATGGGAGGGAATAGGGGGATTGAAATAAAGATCACAGAGAAGATCCTCTTTGTAGGTTAATATGGAACACACACTGTTCACATCACATCTGGGTTTGGCAACCCTATAAAACCACTGCCCAACTTGGTCTTCATGATGACCACATTCATAGAAGCAGCATGTCTAATAGACAGCTACCCTCTCTTCTTGTCTTCCT